GAATCAAACTTCAACAACGAGCTTGTAACCAGTACTTTGGTATGTGATATACATTCTGACTCCATCGTAGCGCGAATGGCATCAGTGCTCCGATTATGTCAGTTCATGTGTCAGAAAGATAGGGATGCGTCACGCCACTCTGGTTACGCAATACGTGCCTGACGATCACGCGCAAGTATCGCGTCTGCTACGACAGCTTCAAGCCGAGCTACTGGTCCTGTATAAGTAGCTAGTGACGAACTCATGTAATTCCCTTTCAACCATCGAGCACTGGATCGCACAAACGAGCACATACAAGTATTTTCTACCCATCAGCAGTATACCCTGCACTCACATACAACTCTGACGTTCAAGATGGCCACCAACGGTGCTCGGTCTACTGACCCGGCGGTCTATGATGAGTACAAGACCACCTGGGCTAAGCAACCTACATCGGAGGCCGAATGGGTTCAGAGAGCTAAGGACGTCGCAGCTGTCCTTGCGAAGGATGCTGGCGATCGTGAGCGAGAGAACAAAGCTCCTCATGCCGAAGTGGCACTGCTGAAGCATGCCGGGCTCTTGAAAGTGCTCGGTCTGGAGAAGTATGGCGGTGGTGGTCAGCCATGGAGTGTCGGCTACAAGGTGATTCGTGAGGTAGCCAAGGGTGATGGGTAAGTCGACATTTTCCCGTGATGATGTCTGGAAGTACAAAGTACGGAATCGACGTCTAACTCACTCAGCTCTCTGGGTATGCTCCTCGGCTACCATCTACTCTGGTCAACCACTGCCAATGTTGTCGGCACACCTGAGCAGGCCGACCGTGTGCAGGACCTGATTATCTCCAACAACTACTTTGTTGGTGGAGCTGTCAACCCTCGGGACAGTGATTTGAAGATCACGTCGGATGGTGATAACATCGTATTTGACGGTTTCAAGTTCTTCAATACGGGCGGTGTCGTCTCCGACCTGACGGTGCTGGAGGGCGTGTACGAGGACACTACCAACCATATCTTTGCGCTTGTCAAGACGCAGCAACCTGGAATCCAGTTCTCCCACGACTGGGATAACGTCGGCCTGCGCTTGACCGAATCTGGAAGCGTCAAGATCGAGAAGGTCAGCGCTCCATGGGCTGATGCCCTTGGTTGGGACGTCGAGAAGAAGGTCCCAGCAGAGCCGCTCACCATCCCATTCGCAACACTGTTGCTTCCCACGTAAGCATTGCCATTTTAATTGTGTCAAGATTTGTTTACAAACCTTACCTGTTTCGTACAGAATTCAGCTCGTCTTCAGCAACTTCTACCTTGGCATTGCCTGGGGTGCCCTGAACGAGGCTAAGGCCTACACAAACAAGTCTACTCGAGCCTGGCCGTACGGTGGTGATGTAAGTCTATCCCATGCTGTTTAATGGAGTCTCAAGGACTCCAATCATTCTCAGGACTTAGAGAAACTAACATCATCAAGAATAAGGAAAAGGCGCAGGATGAATTTTACATCCTCTCGACATACGGCAACCTCTTCGCTCATCTGCGTGCCGCCACTGCTCTTGCCGACCAGGCCGGCCTCGAGATCAACTCTGTTTATCAGCATTCCGGCGACATAGCTACGCGCTCCAAGCTCACCGCCGAAGCTCGTGGTGAGGCTGCCGAATGGGTGGCCAGTGTGAAGGTGACAGCTACCGATATCGGTTTGAGGGTAACATCTGGGGTCTTCGAAGTCACTGGCTCCAAGTCTACCCAGAGGAAGGTCGCACTCGATCGGTTCTGGAGGGATATCAGGACACACTCGTTGCATGATCCTGTGGCGTACAAGAACCGTGAGCTTGGACGCTACGTCCTACTTGGAGAGATCCCGGAGCCTACCTGGTACACTTAGATTTCCCGTCTTTAGCTCATTAGCCTGCCTCCCTTCAAATATCACAATTGCACTACTCCCTGTAGTCCGACAGCATGGCTGCACTTCGTCTTCCACTTCTCATTGAGGTCTCATTCTGGCAATGCATTACAATGCGGTGATTGACTATGCCACTCTTTTAGTTGCCGCTCTTCCCTCCCCTTGTATCCCTATACGTTTCTGTAATCAGCAATCTTGCCATTGAAGATGATCCAGGGGCTCCCTCAATCAGGCGAGGTCGTACAGGCACACTCATCGTGGCGCTACTTCCAGCCACTGGCGCCGCGTACCATTTTCCAGTAGTTAAATGACCTGCATCACTATCGCAGAGATGAGACTTGGGGGTTCACGTTTCAGTCAATTTGGTTCAGAGTAAAATGTTATGTTTCCCTGTCACTTCATCAAGCTAATTTCAAATTGCTTGCTCCTTCAGCAAGCTAAAGGCTGTGTGACACTGTATACAATGTGTTGAATATAAATGTACAAAAGGTTTTCAAAATATGGACAACTGAATCTGTCTTGGACTTGAAGGCATCCTTGACGCTCAAAGCTTGTAGGTGAGAAGAAGCGCCAAATTTGTTCAACACTTGCCGGCCTTGGTAGGCTCGCAGTCGCCGTTGGCCTTGTCGCAACCCTCGTAGGCCTGGCACTCGGTCTTGGGGAAGCAGTTGTTTGAGTAGGTGGCCTTGTCGCCCAGGTTGGGGTTGATACCCATAAGCTCGCCGCCGTTGACGGCTGTGACACCCTCCATGTGAACGGTGCGGGCACAGTTGCCCTTGCAGTTGCCGCAAGAACGGTATACCTTGCCGTAGTCCTCGGCGTAGAAGTTGATGACGTGCACTGTTCCACAGCCGTTGTGCTGGATGATCTTATCCGCAGCTCCGTAGGCTCCGCCTCCGACGATCGTAGCTAGCCCATCACCCTTGATTGAGATGGCGTCTAATTCTGATCAGTATCACGGCGTGGAGGCGTAGAGTTCAGGTGGGGGACCAACCTTCACAAACGTTCTCGAACCAGACGAATTCGAGGTTGCAGGAGCCCTTGCAGTAGACACCTTCCTTCTGGTCGGCACCGATAATGACGTTCTTCAGTGTGGCGCCGTCCTCAAGGACGAAGACGGTGTCCTTCTCGCCTGTGTGTTGTAAGTAGATGCCTCCATGAATCGACTGCTCGAGAATACTCACCACCTTCGCTCTGCCCATCACAAGGCTGACCACGGTCGTAGCGGACCCATTCGGCATCAAAGACCTCACCAGCCTTGATGTACTGGGGGGCATCAAGCGACTTGGTGTCGGTGGCCTTGGGGATTCCACCTTCGTAGCCAAGGCAGGCCATGGTAGCCGGAACGGCAGCGAGCAAAGAAAGAAGCTTGGCGGAGTACATCTTGAATGCTGATTCTTGTCGAGACTACGAAAAGTTGGTAAAAGTCTTTAAAACCGGTCGACGGCAATGTATAAGGAGAAAAGTAGAAATGATAGAAAATCACAATGAAATGGGTAAGATGAGTGAAAGACTCCTGGTCGATGCTTATGATGAGCGAATGAACCAACACCGGTTATTGGGAGGATTTGCAGCTGCTCTTATGTTGCCTTTTGACTCTATCGCCGCGTTGTTACATCTCGTTGGCCGAACCCCATAACGGCCCTGGCCGAGTATAACGCTGCACCGCAATCACAAACCCTGAGTGACCTGCAATCTACGAGATGGAGATTTGTGGATAATCACCGCATGAAGTTTCGATTTGAGTAAGCAGAAGCAATGATCGATTCCATGACTTGCCCAGTCTGTAGCGCCCAATGTTGATCAGAAACGGAGGATATCCCAAAGAAGCTCCGCTCACGGACGGGGAGGGCTTGGCCCCTCACGAGGTACATCCCTGAGAATCCTCATGGGGCTGCGGGCCACGCTTGATTGGGTTTCGATCTACAGTTAACAGCGGGTAGATCGAATGGTTCGGAAAACTATTGCATCTGATTCTTGGAAAATCACCGGAGATGAGCATGGAAGCACTGACAGTTGCACTACGCCAAGGCTCTGGCACCCACCGTGAGCGCAGCTCGGGGTGGCTGTGCAGGCTCAACATGAAGCACTGGTGAGGACATACAGGCAAGGCAGCCGCCGACAGGGTCTTGGCGCCTCCCACGTGGTAAGTTGGCATACGGGGAAACACAATGAACATCCTTATCCTGTGAAAATCACAAGGCGATTGTTGGTGAATGGTTCACTTTGTGATCGAATGGCACCTTTGTGGGGAAGATCTCAGGGGCATGAGTTCCAGAGGGCGCAGTCCAAAATTTCTCCAATGGAGCAATATTGGCCATGCCAAGAGGTGGAAATCACCCTACCAGTGGAACCATGACGGTTTTCGTCGAGCGATGGATTGCTATACGAATGTCGTTTGTACCTAGCGGTTTTATACGGGTTAGAACCGCTGAAGGCGAAGAAGAGACAAGTATTCGGAGAGCAAAACCTTACCGAGTCGCGGTGAAGCCCATGATGAGATGAGCAACGCTCGGAGCGATGACGTCGAGAACAAAGTGAGTTGTCGGGCTCCTTTAGGGCCCGTGGCCGCCCCATTAAGGCAATCCAGGATGGAAATCACAACATGTCATCCAATTCGCGCGCGTGACTTAATTTCCAGTCGCAGGCTCGAATCACACAAAGAAAGGGGGCTGTGCGAGCGGCTTGCCTCATCAGCTGGTGGCAATATGCTTCTTGATAGCCCTGCAGGCACTTATCATGGCACAACCTGCGTGGACGGTGTAAACACTCTCCTCTTTAGGGACTCTTGCGTCAGCTGCACAGTATGGCGTATTTACTACGGAAAGCAAGGAGATGATGGCTCCTATTTTCTTCCTTGAAGTCAGAACTTCTCGGAACTGCATGCGCTGGGGTGTCAAAGGTCGCAAACCGACTTGGGGTCTCAACAATGACAGCTCGAGGGCCTCTGTAAAATACAATGAGGCGGAATAGCTGCAACATCATTTGCAAATGTATGTAGTAGACCGTCAAGAAGACGTTCCATCTGCTCCATGGCCACTACATGACACCTTATGATCTGCTATATTCACCTCCTACAGCTTGCTTCATTCATTGTGAGACCGAGATCACGTCAAGGCAATATAGTCGTAATGTAAAGGGATTAAGTATTAAATTTACTCTAAATCTAAACACTCGGTTTATCGTGAATCGTTTCTTCGTCTTATCGTGTCTAAATTCCTCACTTCTTCCGAACATTTTCAATCCCGATGGGTAGTAACATGCTGCAAATACCCCCTCTCCTCATCTAACATGCCGCACCGACTCATATGGCGGTACAGCCCCTCGTCACCGTCACGGTGGCGTGCATGTCCCTTCGCAATAATAGCAAAGCTGTCGCGCATGCACAGCTCGTACACGGCCGTGGCAAGCAGCGTGGCGGGCACATTGACAAGCATGCCAATGGGCGCGTACGAGTGGTCCGTGAAAGCCTCGCGTCCCCAGAAAATGGCGGCGACCATGCGCGGACCGAGATCCCTCGCGAGGTTCGTGCTGAGGGTCAGGCTACCGAAGCCCCAGATCATGCTAGCGTAGGCGAGGCCGATGACAAAGGGCAGGCCGGCTGGCTGGATGAAGGGGTTCGCGGGGTCGAGGGCGGCCCAGATGGCGAGGCCGATGAAGGCGTCGGAGAAGAACTCGGCAGCAAAGACGTAGCCAAGAGTCTGGTCGTCGTGGGGCATGGGCGCGAGACAAGACGCTGGCGAACCACCGCCGACGAGGGGCTTGCCAGCAGCTATCAGTTCGTCGGCGAGGTGCTGAAATTTGGTGTAATACATGCAGACGACAAGAAGGGCGGCGGTAAAGCCACCGAGGATCTGCGAGAAGATGTAGTAGGGAACCTTGCGCCAGGGGAAATCCTGCCAAAAGGCCATGGCGAGGGTGATGGCCGGGTTGAAGTGGCCGCCCGAGGTGGGACCACAGGTGATGACGGCAATGGCGACGCCGACAGCAAACGCCCATCCGATCTGGAAGATGGATCCGAAGGCAGTGACGCCGAGGTCGTCGGATTGGTGGAGGGTGAAGCTGGTGATGGAGGAGATGCCGCAGAGGACAAAGATGAAGACACCAATCGCTTCAGCGATGCATTCCCGAAGCCATGTCGGACGTCGACTCTCAAACCTGAGACGCCGCTCCGAGATGGGTCTATAGGTGGGTTCCGAGCGCTTCAGCCATCGAGCCGCAGCGTCGGTCAAGTCGGTCTCTGCGGCATCGTTATCATGATCGTGGTCATGGCCATGGCCGTGGCCATCGTGATCGACCGCTGTGGGGATCGTCGAGAGAGGTATCAGGGTGTGAGCACTGTCGGTCCTGGGGAATTTCCAAGACGCCGTCGCATTGAGAGGAAGGTGCTCCATGGAATCATCCATGTCTGGCGCGAAGTGATGGTGTGCTGGTAGTGGTGGGGTTGGTGGCGATGTCATGGTCGCCATGGTTGTCTCAGGTCAATTGATTGTGGAAGTGGCTGTAGGGATTTGATTGACGCTGTGTCGTCAATTGATGTACAAATGTACTGAGATGTTTGAATGTTGAAGATACCGTACATACAGAGTGCCCATATTGCCCTGCACCTTCATGCTTTTATTCTGTTCGTTTGCGAGGATTACTAGACTGAAACCATTCTTCGTAGTCCGTAGAATCATACCACCTTGTGTCAGCGCAGAGATGCTTCAGGCTAATGAGTCGTCGGCCCAGCCCGTGTTGCTGGCGCCTTCTAGGGGCTATGCCTCTCTGTAAGATGCATAGGCGTCGAAGCACGTCCGAGGACGAAAAAGTCACGGCACTTTCAAGGGGTTATTAGCCCAAAAGCAGCGCCCAGAGGCCTGGAGCGGCCATAGCCAGCGGACGTGATGGCCGCCCGTTTCTCGCTGGCTAATGTTGATTAGGTCGTGCTAGGGGGGCTGGTTCTGGAGACTACGGATCTCCCGCCCGCTTCTTAGGCTCATTAAGCATCTTTTTTTTAGGGCTGTTTCCCGGCGAGGACCGCAGGCAATACGCCCGATCACGCTTTTCCCGGGCGTCTGCGAGTGTGGTGTGATTCTCGTCATGGGCGGCCGCCAGCACGTTCCAGGCCGTGCCAATCAAACTGAACCGCCAGGGAGGACCGCATCGCCTGTATGCCAATTTCGCGACAGCGGATGGCACCGACGGGAGGCTCAATTAAGGCTCAGTGAGGCTCAACCATGTCCAACAACAGGATTGTGAAGCGTGGTGGCGGACCGCTCAAGCGCTGTCACAGGCGAGGACTCTTGACACTGGATCCTGACCTCTCGTGAATGCGGCTGAAGCTGAAAGACGCTCGCCCGACAACGAGCCAATTCTAGGCCATGAGTACGAGGCGCTGGAAAGCAAGAAAAAGGGATCCATGAGGCGTCCAGAACCGACCGAAGACAATTGTTGAGATGGGTGAACACGAAGTGGCATTTGCGCATGATGAACGTACCAGAAGCTGCCTAGGTCTCGTGTCAAAAGCTGGTGGCGGCGCTTGGCAGCGGTGCATCTATTCTGGCAGAATGGATACCGTTCGGGGTTGTTGGTCCGGACTGAGAGCCAAGATGCACAGCACATGCGAATCATCAAGTACCGCGGACACTTGAGGGGCCTCAGGTCGTCAGTTGATTTCCCTAGAACTTGGAAACGAGCTGGGAAGGAGGCTGGAATGATGCAGTTCATCAGGAGCAAGCTGTCTGTCGACAACAATGATCAAAACCTAGCAGGCCCATTTGAGGTAGCCTTCTACGGGATGAGATGTGAGGACTTGATCCGCGCTGTGATACTGCGCAACCGCCATGAGTACCATAGGTACGCTACATTTGAGCCTTGGCAATCCAATTCACCAGGGCTGCTACTGAAACTACCAGCGACCAAAATACCCGCAGACGCATTGATGGCGACGTCCGGAGGACTGGTAGGGTGCAACAGAGCTTGAAGTCAGCCACCACTTGACGGGCTTCAAGAGCGTGGAGGGCTGGATGCAAATGAGCCTTTTCCGGTCCAGCTGCTGCGAGATCTTTCAACCGCGAACGCACGCTGTGACTTACAGAAGGAAGCTCAACCGTCGGTCGCATCGGACATTCCCATCAAAGCCATTGACCAAACGCCAAACGCCGCCGCCAGTTAGCAGGGTGACCGATTCCACCCGGCGATGGCGCGATTCGCGGGAGCACGAAAACACCGCAGTCGGAGGCCCACCTGACAGCCGAAAACTCTTCCATGCCCCATGGGTTTTACTACATGATTACGGTCCGACACGCCAATTTCATCAATAAGCAACCTGCCTGCCCGGCTAGCTCAATCGGTAGAGCGTGAGACTCTTAATCTCAAGGTTGGGGGTTCGAGCCCCCCGTTGGGCTCAATTCCTGACGCATCTCGTATGAGATTTCTTTTTGTCTTTTGTCGTCTCGTCTACTGGGCTTCCAGGTTGCAAGTGTGGCAGTACGCTAGGTTCCAAGATTATCGCATGATTATTTCAACACGGCTTGTTGACGCGTAGAGAATGTGGTCTATTTCCTCCAGATGCTGACCGTAATAGTGGTGGCTACTGATAGCTTTTTGCTGCTTCACCACGACCTTCCTTCGCCTGTGGCGCTTTCAAGCCGCCGCAGCCAGACTTTATCGCAGTGGTCTCTGATATCTTGACCATTATTGTTAAACATATCATTATCATCTTGACCATTATTCGGTCTACTGTCTCCAGTCGAGGTTTGCTGCCTGTCGACTGGTCTTGACCTGCACCTACCTAGGCAATCCATGCAGACCAGTGCTGACGGAATTGAGGCTGACATCGGTCACGATCTCGGAGAGGCTCGTATGGAAAGCTATGCAAGATAAAGTATGTTAAGTATCACTCATGATATCAATGTGAAGGTACGGGATTGTATAATAATGGCTTCCAAGCTGTATCCATATCTGGAGATATGGATACACCCATGGCAGATCGGGCAAGGTGAGGTTCGCACGATATTCTTCCCGTCGTTTGGTCGCCGCAGTCGTAATGATTACATGCTTGACAGAGTTCAGGGTGCAGGGAAAGGAGCCCATGTTTCAGAGGGTTAAGACCCTTCCTTGCGTGTCACTTGCTGCACACTAAGCTTTACTTTCACCAACGACACGGCATATAGTCCAGACCTTAAACCTTGATTTCTTTTCACATTTTTCCGGGGATGGACAGACATGGGAATGCCCTGCAGCAATAGCAGGCTCAGGCTCGCGATCAAGTGACTGAGGTGCCCTCATAATTTGCAATCTATTCCCCCTGGTATTATTGCTCATGGCCATTCTTTCACGTCGATGGGAAAGGGGGAGCTGGGGTTCAGTATGGGAAATCCGGAGTTCTCAACACAACGACACTGTGATGAAGGACTTTTCTACCCAATTGTTGTTTCATTCCACTAGAGGCTAACAACTTTGAGTCTATTAACTTCCTACAATTGACGCTTACCCCGACAATAACTCTGCAATGTACTTCTTTTGAAGGTTTGATTGATTCCAATCGGCACTCATCATCGCAAGCTCATCACCTGTCAACATGCAAGGACTCAGCGGGATGTAGTTGAATAGCATGCGGTCAGACAATCAAGCAGGTGAGCCTTGGCGGTGTCCACGCCGGCGGTGCCACGTGAGCACCTATCATTCAACATGTTATCTGGGACCATCTTCTTGGCCGCAGGCGGAGATGAATTTCGCCATCTTGGAGCGTGCCGGCCACTCAACGATTGTGCCGCCGCGCTGCCTCCTTAACGCCGACGCCACCTCATTGTCTCCAACTCCAAGTCTTGTCGACGTCCTCTCGTCAAAGCAAGCAATGACAGAACTCGTAACATACCAGCAAGAGTACTAGCCCCCCTGTTGACAAGGCGATCTAAGAGGCTTGGAATGGTATTGATACGTGCATGCTTCACGGGACAAGGCAAGGCTTACGACAACCTGGAGACATCGGTCCTCCAATCACGGCTTTGGTCTTGTCATTTAGCCATTCCAGGTCTCACACGGGGGGCAGTCGTAGACTTTTCGCCTCAATGGATGCCTTCGATGTGACCTCAGATCTGCCAATCTTGGCCGGAGCTTTTAGGGTTTCGCTACTACCAAGTGTACGACGCTGTGACAAAATACATCGAGAGCATGCCGGAAAAGCGAGATGGACCACCGGGTTCCTCGGAAATGCGGTGTACCAACCTCTGTACCTCGGGCGGTTCTGCTCATGCCCGGAGGCGGAGACCCGACGCTAGTTGGCGGGGGAAAGGATTATGGGCAAACCCCCCGGGGCGCGGGCCCGAGCGGCTCAATCGCGGAGGTGAGAATATCCCAACACCGTCGACGACGACGGCGCGGTCTGATTAGTGGAGGATAATTCAACCATCTTGGGCTCTTGGCTGGAGAAACAGCAATGCTGGGCGTGAGTACCCCATGGGGGCTCTCCACCATTGATATTTCTTGTTTGATCTTGGCTCGCGACCTAAAAATGCCTGGAGCCCACCTAGCACCATGGTGCTCAACAGCCAAGCTCGTTTGCCAATGCATGCCAATGCTTGACCATGCACCCAACGACTCCATTTCTCACGCTTGCGCCGCATTACCCATGGGCTGAATTTCGCGTGGACAACCCATTTGCTGGCTCAAGTGGTGGGATCGGCATTGTTTTTATCCCTAACAGTCGTCCACAGACTGTCAGACGTAGCATTATCGGCGGGTATAAAGGACGGCAGCCGACCGAATTGTGTGTCATGTTTTCGATCCCATGCTTCGTCAGATCCTGTACCCGCAGTATCCCAAAAGCCGGACCAACTCATTACGCTACATAATCTGAGCTTTGAAACACCTGGTCGACTTTCATCGCGGTTGCACGAACACCTCGAGCCGCCATCATGGGTCTCATGCAGAAGATCGTCAAAAATGACGCCATGAAAGAGGACCCCCCCGAGATTTACGGATGGAGGGCTTTTGCTCTTGCTTGCTCGGTATGTGTTTGAGAATCATTCCTCTCCGGCGGTGTGGTGACGAGCAGACGGAGCGGGAGCGCAGATGCCACAGAACTGTCGGTTGTGTGCTGCCGTTGAGTGTGCTTTGTCTGAGTGCTAGCTATCCATAGTCGTATCCTCGTTCTCTCGACTGACCCCCTCTGCAGGCTTGTTTCGGCGGTTTGATTTTTGGAGTCGACACTGGAGCCATTGGTGGTGTCTTGAGAATGCCTGAGTTCCAGGAGTAGGTTGATTCCCGAGCTGTTGAGTTAGTGGTCACAAGCTTACACTTACACCCTGCAGCCTGTACCGACTGAGCCCGGAGTACGCCACGGATAACCAGCGGGCCAACCTGAGTGCCAACATCGTCAGCACTCTCCAGGCCGGATGTTTCCTTGGCGCCCTCCTCGCGGCTCACGCCGCTGACCGCTTCGGCCGCCGACCCGTTCTCATCTGGGGTGCTGGTGGTATCTCTCTCATCGGTGTGATTCTGCAAGCTGCGGCTTCCGGTCATCTCGCACCCATGTACATTGGCAGGTAAGAAGACAGCACTCTAGATTGTGGTGGCGGTCCTAGGCGAGTAACGGTACTAACGTTTGCAGGTTCGTCTCTGGCTTCGGCACCGGCTTTGCGTCCATGGTCAACCCTCTCTACGTTGCCGAGAACGCTCCTCGTGCTATTCGTGGTGGTCTTACCGGCATCTACCAGCTCTTCATCGTTTTCGGCATCTTCCTGGCTTACTGGATCAACTACGGCTGCATCCAGCACATCTCTGGTCAGGCTCGTTTCCTCATCCCACTGGTCTTTCAAGCCATTCCTCCTCTGCTTTTGATGATCAGCATGTGGCTTTGCAACGAAAGTCCTCGCCATCTCGCCAAACAAGATCGCTGGGAAGAGGCCATGTCGGTTCTGTCCACGATCCGTGCCCTGCCTCCCACTCACCCTTACGTCGCCAACGAGTTTGCTGCCATCAAGGCTTCGATTGAGGAGGAGAACCTCCTTCTTGATGGCACTACCTGGTGGTCTCTGCAGCGCGAGATGTGGACGATTCCCGCCAACAGACGCCGTGCCATCATCAGTATCCTTCTCATGTTCTTCCAGCAAATGACGGGTATGTTCAAGAACAGCAACACTTTTCTATTGTTTGGGCTAACTGGGGCCTATCAGGCACGAACGCAATCAACTACTACGCGCCCATGATCTTCAACAGTCTTGGCGTCAGGGGCGAGTCGAACGAGCTCTTTGCTACTGGTATGTAACGAAACTGGTCAACCTGCATTTCTCCGCTGATTGAAGATAATACAGGTATCTACGGCCTCGTCAAGCTCATTGCCGTCGTTGTCTTCCTCATCTTTGTCGCCGACTCCCTTGGCCGCCGCCGCTCTCTCATCTGGACCGGTATCGCCATGGCCGGAATGATGCTCTACATCGCCATCTTCATCCGCGTTACACAGCCCGACCCCAATTCTGAAGAGGACGTGTCTGCCGCCGGCTACGTTGCCCTCATCTGCATCTTCCTCTTTGCCTCGCTCTTCCAGTTCGGGTGGGGCCCCGTCTGCTGGATCTACGTTTCCGAGATTGCGACCACCCGTCTCCGTGCCACCAACGTCTCGTACGCCGCCGCCACGCAGTGGCTGTTCAACTTTGTGGTCTCGAGGGCTGTGCCGCCCATGCTTGTCAACCTCGGAGTCGGCGGTTTCGGCACCTACATCTTCTTCGCCGGCTGGTGTGTTGTCATGGTTGTCTTCTGCTGGTTCTTCATCCCCGAGACCAAGGGTCTCAGCCTTGAGTCGATGAACGAGCTGTTCGGCATGACCGAGCCTCTCCGGGCCAAGGACAACGAGACTGCCTCGGTTGACAATGGATCTCGGAGCGACCGGAAGGAGATCACTGAGACGCCTACTGTTGCTCAGGTGGACCAGGCTGAGACTCCTGGAAACAACACTCGGGCTATGTAAATGCTAGCACGACCGAGTAAATAGCTAAGGGGGCATTGGCTCTTTGCATCATTCTCTGGTATAGCAGAACAGGGACGGGATCTAGTTTGTGCTGGGTTGGTTTCCATAGCACATGCAACCTCCCGCCTCCATAGAGAATTAACCGAGTCGTTCAAATACAAAGACAATGGTACTGAAGTGCTAGTCGTGATGACAGTATTTGACTGCGTCCTTGGTTGAGACTGAGTAAAGCCGGTTGTACTTTGAAACCAGCTTGACGAGCATGGGACGTCTATAATGGGGTTCATGGGAGAATGACCACTTTTGGTGACCAGCACCCGACAGAGCCCTCGCTAGGCACAAGGCCGGCTGCTCACATGGTGTTGCACGATATGGGAAAAGGCGTAAATGGCAGAACACGCATCAACGCGGACCTTTCAGCACGCCCAATTCATGACACCTTCAAGATGATCCCCTATTTTTAAGGTCCCCCATGCGCCCGATCAGATGCCGCAAATTCCTCAGTCCCCGGTCCGCACCACTCGTCGAAGACCCTTCCGATGGCCTCGACAGTCCATACACCTCCGTCGGCCGCCCTACACCCCCGATTAGTATAACGTGACACGGCGGCTGCCCGCAAGTGTCGTACTCACGGATATTGCCCGCCCCGCCAATCCCGTACCCCCGTAGCTGCTGATCCCGCACGGCAACCTCCCGAGCCTCCTCCTCCGTATCACTCGTCTGCGACAGCTCCTCGTCCTCCCCGCTGCGCTTCCCCTCGAGACTCCCGCCCGCCCTGCCCGACGCCTGCGCCGCAGCCTTGCCCGATAGGTTCGCCGTCGATATGCTCCTGACGAGTGCCAGCTTGCCCTGTATGCGCACCCTGTGCCTCCGTTTCCTTGCCGGCAGCAACTGGCTCGTTTCGGGGTCGAGGGCCTCGAGGGGTATGTCTGAGGGGGCGGCGGCGGTGGCGGAGGCGGCGTCGTCGAAGGAGGCGCGGCGAGGACGTTGGTTCGGCAGCGGCGCGAGGGCGGCGAGCTCGTCGAGGACGGACGGGAGGGGCGGTGGGGGCGTGTACGGGTGCGAGCGCATCGTGCGGGCGTTCGGGGCGGCCCTTGGGGTGTGTGGGTGGACTGCTTGCTTCGGCTGCGGGCGCTCTTTCGACGATGAGCCGGGGTGGAGGGGGGGATGGCGACGAGTCGGATCGATGACAGGCTGCAGGAGATGCGACGGGCTGCAATTGAAGAGAGAAAGAAGAAGAAGAAGAAGAGGCTGAAGGAGAGAATGCGATCTGTCAGATCGGAGGACCGCCAAAGAGGACGTAGTCTAGATAAACGGCATCACCTACTAGCACAATCAGGGGCTTCGTCGCCGGGGACATGTCATCTAACGGGCCGTTGTGGCGTCGGGGAATACCCCTGCAGGCAGAAGAAAGCAACGCGGGCAAGCTTGTGCTGATGGGCTGGTGGATGGTCGATATGGGCACGAGGTTGGGGAGCAATTACTCAATCTGTTCGCGTGCCGAGTAACGTGGGGGCTCTGATAAGAGGCCATATGTCAGGGGTGTATCGAGTAATTTTTATGGCGACAGGTTCATCCTGAAATCCAAAGGAAGTTAAGCAAGTACAAGTCCAAACGTCTTGCGCGATGTGAGCATTTCGGATATCAGCTGTCATGACGGGAGACAGTGCTTCTGGGAGGGCTATACAGCACGAGGCGCGAATTTGGCTTGTAGGAGCTGAGTCCCCCTGCATCACACCAAGACACCAAGCCTTGATTGTCGTTGAGTGGGGATATTGTGAGACTTGATGTCTTGAACTCCTTGACAGTGTACACTTCATAAACTTTTCCACGGTCCAACTCGATTTAACTTGTCTTATGGGAACCATGCGCAGCCATCCAGCATGTAGCGTCAAGATCCTCAGAATATGAGGCCCAGCTGTCGATGGGAGGCTCATCTCCGTCACGGCACCATCGCCGGGCCGATGGGGATGTCAACTCACAAAAGGCGACGGCGGATGTGAAGGACAGTGTTCTTGGCCAATACGAGTATAAATCGACTTCTTTGAGTAGAATGAAGCTATTGCTAGTAGATTGCGCTGATGCATCTTGCTCTGTGCCCCGTTCAACCTAACCCAACTCGAGACAACCGTAATGCCGCCCACTCAGCTCGCAATCGCGCTCAGTAAGCCAGCAATGCAATGCGCTGCCCAAGATTCATGGAGTAGGTACCTCGCCAATAAAAGTGCCAATGAAAGTGCCAGGGAACCTCGTCCAGGCTAACGCCATTGTAGATAGCCTTTCCCGTGATGATCTGCGAGTTCTATGGTGACGCGCTCAGCTTGTCCCTGATTCAGCACTAGGCATCATCTGACGATGCATTTCGTTTCACGGCTTCTCCCACCCCTTTGCTATCACGAAAAATTTGTCTTTAAATTCTTTGAGGCCGTTGACGTCGCAAATGTCATAGCCAAAGCGACTCTTCACTTTACCAAGTTCCCGGGCGATCGCCGGAGGAAACAAGTTGGCGAGGAGGTGTTTCTTGATGCTGAGGGACTCCGTTCTCTCGAAGCGATCCATCCATCCAGTCACTCCGAGACCCAACATCTTTCCAGACGCAAACTGTTTGATGCGGTGCTGCACTATGAATTTGGCGGCTTGGATGTTGTGACAAAGCACCTGGTCCATGACGAACTGGTCGTGGCACCGGATCAAGTCGGTGATGGTAACGCCTTCATCTCGAGGAGCCGCGAGATCACTCAATGCCATCTTGACGTAGGTGCCGTTCACAATGGTCGCGTAGTTGAATTGCAAGTGGGTGCCGTTCGGCGCGTCACCGCCTGCTAAGGACGCGTATCCGTACACATCACGCCCATCTACTCGCAGTTAGGCTTTTTCGCAATCATGAGATTTCTACCACTCATGACTTACTGCGGGTCTTGCCTATTGGAAGGAGATATCCTTGCTGAAGGGCATGCGTGAGTATGTCTTTGGTCCAGGTGCCAATCGTCGTGATGTCTCGGATTGTCATGAAAAAGGGCCGTTCTTCAATGGGTTTGTTAGAGGTCCAGCCGTTGTCAAAGGTCAGCCCGAGCAGAAACTCTACCACGCCAGGAGCAGGCATTCCAGTCATGCCAAGCAGCCCTGCGTACTGTACCACGATTCCTCGTAAAGTCAGAAGCTCGGAGTTTGTGAGCTGATTCAGGTGCTCAATGTGCCGCGGGTTGGCAAGCAATGCCTCTTCTTCCTGATTGGCTGACAGGAAAAGCTTGATTCGCTTGTTGCGATGTAGCAGGTCTTGCTCTATGCCAGAGACGTGTCTGGGTTTAAGACGGGGCATTTTGGCGAAGGCAGCGCGTGGGTGTGTCTTGCCGAGTTGATAGATTGTGCGTGCGTTGGACTGTCGGAAACGAAGGTTCAGAGGAGACCGGCTTGAGTAGCCGCGAGATGGCGGGGAAGTGAGAGTTTATAAAGGTACCCAGGTTGCATCAGGTGAATTTCGGACCTGCCGCTTTGGCGGTTGCTTGGCATCTGAGGAACTCATGAAGGAAGGAAGTGTAACTGCGATATTCCAGCTAATCAATATCAAGCATGACTGCCCCAATAACTACAATTTGAAGGAGAGGCCAGGTAAATTGGCTTCAGCAGCCTGTATTTTCTGAATTCCATGAATTCAGGATCCACGAAGAGGACAGACGATACCAAAAGTTTCATGCGCAAAGTTTGCCTTCTGAGAATAGTATGTTAATCCTGAAGCCCGTACCCGATACAGCCTCATATTGAGACGATATGCTGGATAACCGTCGTAAGTCCTTTCCAGATAAGCAATCACTGGAATGTCCCTAAGGGTGCAACTATCACAGGTCGCTCGCTCCATCACGACCGTGTCGTTAAGCTCTTGCTCGGCTTTCACAATTTCAATGTCGGCAGTGGGAAAAAGTCATTTGCTACCTAGTATAGGGAATTGCCATGATTGGGAAGAAAACGATGGCTATTGTCAAATATTCCACATGGGAAAAGCTTCGAAGAACTCCCTGCGAAATTTCAAGACATTTAGTCCCACATCAGGGCCCGTGTACACAGAACACACGCTACCCGCCTCGCCAATCATGTTGGGATTTTCGTTGGGGATGAAATGTCTTTTCATAAATGCCAAGTCCCTGAAACGGCCAAATGGGGGAGTCCATTTGCTTAGTGTCGATTCCCCAGCTGCGAGCTTTCGAACGTACTCGCGGCCTTCGTATTTGACTTGCTGCATGTTAAGATAAAGTGCTCGGTCTAGCAAGAAGCGCTCGCGGGCGCGGAGCAAGGAACCGGTTGGGACACGGTAGCCTCGCCCCTCATGTTTGGCTAAGGAGCGTTTCACCCAACGTCCATTGATCATAGCTCCGACTCGGAAATGTAGGATTTTCTCTTCAAAGAAGCAGCCCTGGGTTGGCATGCATGGTGCATATGCGCATACTGGTTCCGATGCTTTTCACGATGTATTAGTAGTGTTCCATTGCAGAGTAGATTGACTGTGACTTACAGTTTGTTTCGCCAACTGGTAAGAGGTATTCGTGTTCGAATGCGCGTTCGGGATCAGATTCGATCATGTCACACAGCAGGATCTCATCCATTTCCCTCCTTTGCGGTTGCCCAACTGGTTTCCAAGACGTCCATCTCTCATCGAAGATTGGTGCAAGAAGGTGCTCGACAACTTTCGGGTCTGGATGTGGGCTACCGCCAAGTGCAGTTGAGCATTCCACGACGATATTTCGCAAATCGAGAAGCTCGGAGTCCCTGAGATGATGCAAACCCTCAATACGTCGTGCACGCTTGTACTCTCCGTCTTCTACCTCGTTAGCCGATGCGAAGAGCTTGATTCGCTTGCGGGGGCCTTCCTCGTCCGCATCAGACAACTCGGCTCCCCGTTTTTTCTCGGGAGGCGACATCCTGCCGACCTAAACTGAGCGGTGGTGTTTTTTGAAGCCGTAAGTACGTCTTCACGAGTGTGGTCAAGTAGCAGGGATAGACCTGGTACAGGAAGGTCAAGATGGCTTCTAAGGGCGTAGACAGGCAAATTGAAGCGTGACTGCCGCCTTTTCTTCCAGGGGACGGTACAAGGAAAGTGAATCTGATCCAGGACCTTCTCTGCCCGCGTTTCCGAGACAGATTGGGAAAGAACCTACAAGCTGCGGAACGGTGGCGAATATAGCAGCATGCGCATTCAGGACGCTTCGCTCTGCGCCCTGTCGACCAGAAATCCAGGTCTGTCGTTCATTCGGCCATATCTCATCTGAACAATATGTTTGTCTTTCGCAATGTAAGTAGATATATGTTTCCATTCAATGCCAGACTAGGTACATCAGGCAGCCATGAGCGGATGCTGAGGTGAAGCTGATGAGGAAGGAGAGTGAGAGAGCGACACCCACCACAGCTGACTGCTGGACATGGTGAAGTGGGGCGGGGCGGGTCCGCATCGGGCGACAGCGGCCCGCTGGGCAGGAGCTTAATTCAGATTCCCCCAACTCCAAGTCGTCTCCATTCACGAATTTTCGCGACGGTAAAGCCCAGCAATAGTCCATGCCAGGCTCCGTGCCCTGCGCAGATATCCCAATGAGGCCTCCCCCCACGCTCAGGTCATTTTCCACTGCCTTCTTTTGTTATTCGAGCTGTACGTCTGCCTGAGCCCTCGACAGAATCCGAATGGCTTCTCCGGCTCCGACGCCAGGACGTGTTATCCGAACACTCGTCCTTCTTGTTGTTAAAGCGAGATACCACAAGCTCTTGCGGCGATTCTGGAGAAAACAACCGGGCCTTCTCCACATCTTCAATATCTGCATCAAGACCAAACCAGACGAGAACCTGACCGAAGCCCACGCCATGCGATTTATCGCCAGCCATACCTCCATCCCCGTGCCGAAGGTTTATTACGCATTCACCTATAAAGGGGACTCATACATCGTCATGCGCCATATCAAAGGACAAATGGCAGGGCATGGTTGGCTAAGCCGCACAGAAGAATCGAAAATGCGAATTCTGGACCAGCTACGCCGCATGATCACGGAGCTTCGCTCGGTTCCTCCCCCCGAAGGGCAAGGCGTCAGCAGCATCGATGGTGGGCCTTTCTATGACTTTCGTCTGCCATCCCGGCTCTACTGGGGCCCGTACGGTACTGTACGGGAGTTCCATGAAGCGCTCGTCGACGGCATGAATCTGGATGCTGACTACACGCTCGCTGCCGACCTTTCCGAGCTGTTTGAGTTCTATCAGCAATCAGGGAACGAGCTCGTCTTAACTCACGGTGATCTAAGCAGCCTTAATATTCTGGTGCGGGGAGATACCGTTGTGGGAATCGTGGATTGGGAGACGGCAGGATGGTTCCTAGTATACTGGGAGTATACCTGTGCGAAGTATGTTAATCCTCAAAATCCATTCTGGGCAGACCCGGTCGATCAGTTTCTAGTGCCCATGCCGGACGAGTTAAAGATGGAAACCATTAGACGTAAGTATTTTGGTGACTTCTGACAAATTCATTTTGATTCTCCCTGCGTCCGCCTTCCTTGGCTGTGTCGGACAGTCTACCTAGCTGACACGGGCACGCCCTAAATCCTTGAGATAGTCCTTTCCGGTCGGGAATGCGTAGTCCCAGCAGGCTACGCAAGTGAGATTGTTTCTTCACGCGGGGAGTCCATCATAGTCGGCAAACGCTGGTAGTGCTCCAGGATCCTTTTATGTGGTAGCGGCCCTGGCGCACTAGCGAGAACTTATAAGGTGGTGAAGACGGGAGCCGTTACGGTTCATATTAGTTCTATAGTCGTTCTTATCGTTAAGGACGATAATTGTATCGGGCTAAGGTATTAGGAGAGCTATAAGCCTTCTACTTAAGGACTTGAGGAAAGGGCTCACGAGGGAGATCTTAATAGATAAAGTGATAGTAGAGAGATAAATAGATGAAGGGATATGAGAGGAGGGGAGAGATAGAAGTCGTCATATCTTAACAAGGGGGTATGTTACGCATAGTGGTGGTTACGTCTCTCGTGGGGCTAGTAATAGAGTTGGGTCTTTGGGACCAGGCAGGCGTCTCAGGCATGGCCACAGGGCAGGCCCTTCCATCCGTTCCATTCATATCAGTGTATTGGAAAGAGAAACAGATTAAAGATCCTAATAGCCTTGATTTATAGCTCCCAGAGCTGAACCCATGACCACGCCAAAAGAAGGTTCATCAAATTAACACTATATCTATCCATCCCATAAATCGTCACATGCATATGCGCCCATCACGCCGCGAGACTGGCTCGTACCCGCTACCACAGCTTGATCCCAAACCGGTTCCCCCTCTTCTTCGGCTGCCGACTCGCCAAGCTCTGCCCCGTGCCGGGCCGGTCATCGAAGCTGTCCATGCTCGGCGCCCTTGCCATGGTCCATGACTGCTGCTGCGACGGCCCCAACGGACGCCCCTGCGGGCCCGGCTGGATGGTCACCTGCTGCGGCTCGCCCCTCTGCAGCGTCTGTTGGGACGCGAGCTGCCCCGGCGCTGGCGCCGAGAAATCACCGCGCAATGCCCTTTCGACGTCAGCGTGCTGGCGCTCATAGTCGTCGTGCCGGCCGCGGGCATCGACGAAGCGGTCCTCGGCCTGACGGCGGCGCTCGGTGAGGATGCGCAGCTCTTCGTCGAGCTGGGCCATGTCGGCTTCGGCATCGGCCATGAGGGCGCGGTACTCCTTCATCTTCTTCTCGAGGGGCTGCAGGACGCTCTGGTTGATGCTGGGGCTGCTGAGGCGGGAGATTTCCGAGGCCTGCTGCAGGGTGGGGGCCGAAAGGTGCTGCTGCTGCTGCTGCGACGGCAGAGGTGGGCTGCGGCGGCCGTTGGGGGCGTTTGTGCGGGGGGAGCCGCTGTGGGAGGGCCCGCGCGGGGATCCGTTGGGGATCTGCTGGCCGGGTCCAGGAGGAGGGGCACCGTAGCCCGTGGGGGCGGGGGCAGCACCACCAGAAACAGACGTGCGACGGGCTTGACGCTCGGCGCGACGGCGGGCATCGGCTGGGGGACCTCGCATCGGGGCGCCGCGGTCGTCCATGGCTTCGTCGCCGGGGTAGGAGGGGGGCCGTCCCTGGGCTTGGGGGCCAGAGGACGAGGGGAGACTGGCGTGTTTGGCACGGGCTTGCATAGCGTCGACAGCGGCCATGGACGAGGGGCGGCCGCTGCTGCGTTGCGGCGCGGATCCGCGCTTGGGACTCGCTCTTGAGGGCGACGGCGGCTCGTCGCTGCCGCTGTAGAAATGGACTTCGCCCTGGTGGTCGAGGAGGGGCGAGCGAGGGCGACGGTAACGTCGGTTGGCGCCGTTGCCACCGCGGGTCTGGCGCTGCGGGGACGAGGCGAAGGACTCTGGTTCAAAGGCGGGCTGGGGGTTGTACTGTGTTTGCGCACGCGTGGCCATTGTGTGGCGGCGATGTGCTGTGGTGTGCTGCTTGTTCAATGCGACGGCATGGGCTGATGAATGGGAACAGGCAGGAATGGAGAGAACAGGATAAGAATGAAAGAAGCGAGGGTCGAGGAGCAGGCGAAGACATGGGCTTCTTGAACCTGTTTGCTGGAGATGGCTGGAGGGTGGCTGGGGTGCCAATGGATCGATGGATTGATGGAGCGATGGATGGCGATGAGGCTGGAGTGCTTTCTGTTGAGGAAGGGAGTACCTGACTACCTGCCAGAGGTGCCTGCCCAAGTGTCTAGGTGCCTGACCTTAGGCGGTGGCAGAACCTGCCTTTCCTTTGGCAGAAGGCACCCAGTGTTTGATTCGTGGCGACGATGGAGGCGGCAGGTGGCAGGGGCCAAGGGGCAGGGGCAGGAGCCAGGGGGACAGCCGGCAGGTGGCTGGGGATCCACTTGCCGGACCCCGCCCATCCAGGGGACACCTTCCGACAGACCCAACCTCCATTGCAATGACTGCATCATGAGGTGGACGTCTATAGACCTCCAAACCTCATCATTTACCTTATGCGACATGGTTTTTCGTTATTCGGATGCTGCCAGGGACTGCCTCGATGTGGAGCTTGACAGATGGCTCCTAGGGAGCCAGGTCGCTGACCTCTGGCAATCTGCAGTCTGCAGTCTGCCGTCTACAACGCTGGATGGAAGGCAGAGTACCAAGATGGACTTCCCCTCGGACTCCGAAGCTGCAGGACCATACCATCATCCGAAACAAATCATTCTTTTGATGGATGGCTGGTAACGTCATCGTTTCTTCTTCATGTAGCTGATGTGAACAGGGCTATTGTATGAATTCCAAGAGAGTTCTCGAATAAGGGCCCAACGAGGCTGCAAGATCATAGATCACCAAGCGACAGGTCAACCACTGGATGACCAAGATAAAGGTAGCGACAGCATGCTTGAAGCACCAGCATAGAACGAGAGACACTCTGCCTCTCCACCACCACGAACCGTACTCCAACAGGGACCTATAACCAGATCCCCAATACATCACAGTTGCCATCACCCCGTCGTCCCGATCGGCCCGTACCGGATGTCCGAAAACGTCACCTTGGCCTGCCCTTGTCAGTACACGTCGCCATCCATTCAGCGAACCACCTACCTGCGGGTTCTCCACCAACGTCTGCGCCGGATATCCCCTGTTCGCCGGACACGGCCCCCTCAGCGCACCGGGCCGACCGGCGGCGTCGACCGGGTACAGCGAGTCGAGCCAGAGCATGTTGGCGTAGGCATCGTGCGTGATGGACATGACCATAACCCACTGGCCCGCGAGCGCCCGTTTCGTCGACGACCACCCGCCAACCTCGGCGTATCGGTTACGCTCCCCAAACGCCGACGCCTGGCTGTCGCAAAAGTCGTCCGAGATGGCGTTGCCCTGCACGCCGGACGCCTGGCTGGGCGGCGTTTCGATGGGCTCGCCGGCCTGGATGAAGGATTGCGAGACGTGGTCCTCGTGGAACCGCGTAATGACACTACCCAGTCAGCTTCTCTCTGTTTCCTCTCACTGATTCCGGAGGACAACTCACGTAAACTTGGCCCCGCTGTCGAGCGTCTTGCCCTGCCCATAAAACTGTGTATTGCCCAGCCGGTATGGGCTCGCGCCGCAGCCGTCGGTATCGCAGCCATGGGGGAAAATGTCGTCCGAGAACCCGCGTGGGCACCGGCTATCCTGGCACGTGTGAAAGTCGGGGTTAATGCAAGGATGCGCCGAGACGACATACGACGCCGAATTGCTCTGCCAAACACCCATCTCGGCACAGCAGGCCCCAACGGCGCCGCGTCCGAGCTCGAGCTCCGTGTACCCCGGCGCCCACCCCTCTAGGTTAGCCCGGCCATCAACAAACTTGATGCTCTGGCTGCACTCGGCGTCGCAGTATCCGGTGCCGTACCGCGCACCAGCGGCGTTCTTGCCGCGCCCGCGCCCGCCGTCCGCCTCCATCTTGACAAAGTACAGCGCCCCCTTGAGCCCGCAGCCCAGCGTGCCGACCTCGACGTCGACGCGCACCTCGCGCCCGAGCAGCTCGAACATGCGATACCGCCCATCCGGCGCCAGCAGGAAGACGCGATTCTCCACGTTGCGCCCAAAGGCAGAGTGCGTGACGTACCGCAGAGACGCGCTACCGCCGGCGGTCGTGATGCCGTGCGTCGACGCGTAGTCGGCGCCTTCGACAGCGCAGCGCTCGGCGCACGCCGTTCCGCTATTGAGGTTCCAGCAGACGTCTGTCCAGTCGCCGTCGAGGAAGCACGTGTGCGCCGAGGTTGTCTCGTGTGTCCAGCGCCAGTTGGCGTCGAGGGTCAGCGCGTCGGTGACGGGCGTGCACGATTCGGCGGTGCAGTTGGACCAGGTGAGAGCGGGGGGGACTTCAGGGACAAGAGTGCCGATTTGTTGGGCGAGGGCCAGAGGGAGCCCGAGGAGGGTCAAGGAGAGGAGGGTCATGATGGGCAGCGCTATTGTTGGAGCGTGTTTTCACAGTGGCAAATGTGCACTGGGGATTCTGGTCCTGGGTTTATATGTTCCCAGTTGGATTCCATCGTGCCGGCCCAAGTATCATCGAGCAGATATTCCCTGTGCAGAATGAAAATATTTTTTCAACAACCACCAGGTGGCTGCGGCAAAGCACTGCTTGCAGATGGCATATAGATTTGAATCCTTCAGAGCAAGCACCTAGCCAGTCAAGTATTTGCTTGGCAAACTGGTAGGTCCATCGCAAAGTGAGTGGTCTGACTAACATGTGTGCAACTTATAGTATACCTCTTCGACAACTTCGATCGAGTGCATGCTGCAGTCAGCTTGAAGATGCAGAATTTCCGTTCTTGAACAAACAGGTGACCACGAGCGGCGTGAAGTCAGATCCGCAACCTGAACGATCTCCTCTATGGAGTTTGAAATGCAGCATGCTTGCCAATGGTTGGTCTGCACGTCTTACTGCCTGCCGTCGTGCATCGCGGAGTTTGTTCTCCGTTCCATACGCGGCCGAGTCTGACAGACTGACCCTCCATCTCGAGATATCTAACACGATGGAGATGCCAAGACGCATTGTGGCAGTGCACACGCTCTCACACTCGTCAGAACGCTTCCACAACATCCGCTATCCCTCCACGCCGTGCGACAGCCCCATCACCTCGCCCAAGTCCTTGCTAACATCCTCCCACGATCGTGTGATCACATTTAGCACCCATGGTCCGCGTGGCTTCAGCTTGGATCGAAACTCCGTCGGCACCGTCATGAACCCGACAACCTACATGGCCTACGGGCCGACCTACTCGCTGGCCTCGATGTCAAACTCCCACAGCAGGTTTGCGACCTGCATAAACGCGCCGTGTACGGCCACCCGCCTGCCGCCCTGCCCATGCAGGCGCTCCTGCCTTGGCCAAACACCGGTAGCGGGAGACTGCTGTTGACCTTGCCTTGTCCATCAAGCCATCTCTCCGGGATGAACGCCTGCAAGTCGCCGAGACCGGGGTCAAAGACTGCCTTGTCACGCCCGATACCCCACGCGTTGGCCATGATCGTCGCATTCTTGGCAATCTTGACGCCTGCAAACTCTTCCTTCTTGTCAGCGCGACGCAGAATGCTCCCCGGTGAGACGCGTCGCCATCGAAACAACTCGTGAATGACAGCGTCGATGAAAGCAATCTTCGACCTGTCGGGGAACCGCGGCAGAAGGTCACAGCCGACGACGTCGTCCAGAACGGCATGTGCGCGGCGTACAAATCCTGGGTTCTGCAAGGCCGCTACGAATAGCCATAGGATCTGGCGCGGCGAGGTTTCCCTGCCGCCTTGGATCGATGTGGCCAGCGTGAAGGCGAGGTCGAGGTCAAAGTCAGCTGGATGAATGTCGCCAGGCACGACCTTCTTGGCGGTAGTGATAGCTTTCTCTGTTGCGTTCCAGCACGGCGATGAGTTGCCATGCTCATACAACCTCCCGTACAAGTCGACCTGCGTAGCAAAGAGTTTATCTGCAGCTCTTTTCCAGGGCGAGAGCATCTCAGGCAGGTTTCTGAGAGGAGGAAGAAAGTCGGGTAGCCCCGGGTTCGCCGCAATGTGCGTGACTTGCTTCTGGATTTCGATGATCTCGTGGAGAACAGGTTCCGAGAAATCGAGAATCCGCAGACCATAGTTGTTAGAGCGTTGTTTAGAGCAGAGTGAAGAGGTCTTCCACACGTGGTCCGCAGCGGATAGAAGATAGATAGGGGGTCGGAATACATCTGAATTCTGGCCCTCCGCAGCTTAGAGGGCCCTTCGTAGCCTATATATACGTTTCTCTAGCCCTTAGCCCCTGCCTGACCCCCTGCTTAGCGACTCTGTAGGGGAACCCGTAGGGTCCCCTGACACCAGTCCATCTGCGACCTTGAGGTCTTTCGCGACGCATTCAAGTATCGAGAGGCCAGAGCGTCGTCCGCGGCCCTTACAAACTTCATTCAGCAGACGTCTACACGGCATACAGAGTCCTGTTCTTGCCAACAAACGTGGGCGAGGTCAGGGCAGCTATTGGTGATCCAGGACCGCTGGTTCTGGCCGCGCTGAGACGAGATTGGGCTGCACGATGTGGGTAATATCTGCTGGACGAAAGCGCGGAGAGTACACGGAAAGTAAGTAGAAGTTTACATTTTAGTGTCTACCGGTGCAATGTCTCCCATCCACACAAAGCTGGCATCCCAAGGCGTTGCAGATACCGACAACAACCACCTGAGCTACGCCGGCCAGTGGTCAAGAGGGTCACCCGAGCAGCTCGAGGGGCCATTAGATCTTTTTACAGCTTCCAGCTGGAGAGGGAGTATCTAGAACGTCTTCGAGATCCCCTGAAACGCTCTACAGGTTGTGCCACTGCCAAGAGCTACATGTTGTATGCTGCTTATGCGCGAGAACGTGTTCATCCAACTCGTGTTACCATTCGCTCGGATACAGGCAAGCTTATTCCTAATAGACGGAAACGTGATCCACTATAGGCACGAGATACATTGTTTTTCCCCATCAGCTGCAAATCCTATCCCTGCACGTACATATTCCATGTCCATTTTGGGAGGTACCGCCGCCGTCTGAATAACCTCGCATTTTGGCCCCCCTCACTCAATGCTGACATGTATTACAACCGCCTCTTACGTCCGAATTTCCGCGGCAGCCGTGGTGGGAATCTTCCCTGAGAGACATTGCGACTGCTTCGCCGTACAGATATCCAGATGGTCCTCGAACAGTCCAAACTCGACGAGCTAGCCGCCACGGGCGTCGCAGACCTCGAGACCTTCTGGTACGAGCCTGAACCCGACAAGCTTCGCTGCCTAGTCTGCGGGGAGTCATTCACTCACGATGCTCTCGTGCGAACGTTCAAGCTGGCGCCTCCCGACGGCCCGTCTGCGTTAAGCGAGTCTCTGCGCTGCAGCCGGGTTGTTTCGACGCACTTGCAACGAGACGTCTTGTTCTTCGACAGGCACCTCCATTGCCTCCGGACAAGCGAGGTCCATGTCTTGACAGTCTCGCATGTCTGGGACCCGCAAGTCTCCATCAATCAGCAGCAGGGTCGCCACTCACCTCAGCCGCTGGAAATCAGGCGACAGGCCATCGAAGCACCCGTCCTCGTGTGCTGTGGGCTCGAAGAGAGCATGGAGGTGGATGGGAACGGGCAGGAACTATGGCACGACTACTTCAGCGTTCCGCAGTGGACGGATGAACTGAAGAATCCGATCCTTCGCATCATCCACACGCTTTACAGCTCCAGTTACGCCACGATCATACACTTCAACGACCTAAGCTCATCCACCGTGGAGAAGCTTCGCCAGGATGAGGAGTCTGATGTAACCCTGGACGGTATGACGGGGGTGTGCAATGCACAGTGGTTCCAACGCATGTGGACGGCCATGGAGTTTGTGAGTAGCAGTCGGATCAGGATGATGACGTCCGATTACCACCTCGACACTGGAGCAGACGACCCAGCCTTCCTGGACAGGCTTCATCGCGTATGGGATGAGGAGGTCGTCAGGCAGGGCAGCGTTCACAATGTCGAGAACATGGTCGGGCTCCCCGAGAACCGAAATCTGGTGCCCTGGACGCTTGGGCCGCTGCGCGAGGTCAAGTCGCACAAGACAACCAGCTTCGCCATGGCTTTCGCCCTGCTGGCAAGGCGGAAGTGCCGCGATCGAATGGACTTTCTCCATGGCCTACGCGGTATTGTCGCCGCGAGGTCAGAGGCAGCCCTGCAGCCGGACTTTCGGACGGAGTACCTCCGAGTCGCGCGAGAGTGTCTCCTCGCGGGCGACTACAGCCCCTTGCTCATGACACCGAGCGTCCCTCTGCTGGATGACCCGCGGCTGAACCCGCTGGATCCGTGCAGCTACAATGAGGTCTGGACCTGGGAATTGGGCGAGGAGACGAGTCCTCCTTCGCTCCCTATCGATGTATCGTTCGATGAATCTGGCGATAAATTGACCTTGACGCTAGAGAAAATTGGCATTGTTACGATTGTCAAATTCCCGGACTGGAAGAGTACCTACGACCACTTTTCTCGGTGCGCCGCCTTCAGTCTCGATCTCACCGGGCCGAACGTGGACGATTTTGTCGTCTCGCTCGGGACAAGACTCTACGGCGAGCGCAAGGAGATCATCATGGAGCATCTCAAGGCCCACGATAACCTCAAAGACCTCGAGGATACGCTCCGGGACCAGTACAACACTCCCTGGGCCGAACCATGGTCAATGTGCGGCGAGGGGGAGGAGTGCGCCGAGTGGCTCGCAGACATCATGTCCCTGACCACTGTCGTCGGCGAGCTCTCAGAGAGCCGTATCGACCTGAGCTACGCCCGATTCGCGACGATGCACTGCCACCCATACAACTACATGGTCGGGGTAACGTGCACAACCTGCCATGGGACGTTCGCTTTCCGCGTGGGCGCCTTTGTGCCGACGGCCGACTTGCATCGGGCCGTGGCGTACCGCGTTCCGGGGCTCAAGTATAAGCTGTCGCACCTCGACGGCATGGGCATGCTGGTGAAGGACGGGCGCATCGTAGGGCGCATGATCTGGGCCTCGCCCGCCTGCGAGTGTCGCGAGAGAGAGCTGGTGACGCTGCACATGCCGGACCTGCCTTCTCCGTTGTCGCATGATCACAACTGAGCTTGCCGGGGATGGGAGGCTGAGCCCGTTACTGGTGTTAACGACAAAAGGAGGAGTCATTGACGACCTGCGCACCTCCGTACTGTCGAGCATGAACTTGGAAGACATCACGCATATGCTCCCACTGGTCAACGTCTTCGGCGGATTGGGCTGCTGATGCCCGTGACCGCGGTTCATTGGAATCGTTAAGTGACTCGACGAGGTGAGGGTACTGTCGTTGGGGATAAAGTCAACAAGTGGGGATAAAGTCAATACAGCGCTGTAAGGAATGGAATAAGTAGAGGATGAATCTCCGCAAAAACTACAGGTTGATGAAATTCACAACAAGCCAATTCCAAATGCACGTGACCGCCGTGTGGTTGACTTATCGAGGCAGGTAGAATGGAGCAAGATGCCCCTTCCTTCATGGGCACACCAGTGATGCCTGCCGCAGGATCACAGACGCGCCGAACCCAGATCCTTGTAGAAGGTCGCAGAGTCACGTGATGCTAAAAGAGTCAGCCGCGGAACTGCCGACGCTCAACCATCACCACTGCGCCTTGGACGCCGCGCACCGAAGCTTCCCCGACAATCAGCCATCGCGCGAATCCGCGTCTGTATCATCGAGCGCGTCTCTGGTTTCCACAATGTCGACGGGTCAGGACCAAGATCATGGTCACATGAATGATCACGACCACGACGACCTCTCGGCGTTGAAGGTCGACCCTGAACCTATCGCCTCGACTACCATCGACACAGCAGCGCAGTCCGAAATCGACAATGGCGACACAGCATCCGACTCCGCTGCCGCGTCTGCTGTTGCTGCCGCTGCTGATGCCTCTGAAGAGCCCGAGCATCACGGACATCATGTACATATCGAACACCACGATGGACTTGACGACTACGACCCTGCCTCGATGCAGACCTCGGATCTGGACGCAAACTTGATCCACGCGACTACATCTTCATCGACTGCCCACGAAATCGCCACTGGTGGCCTGCAGGCTCTCCAGGACGCATCAGACGCCGCCGCTGCTCAGGCTCTGCGCGAAAGCGTCGATCACCAGCAGCAGCACCACGAGCAACCTCACGAGCAACACCACGAACCGCACGAGCAGCATCACCAGTATGACCCGCCGCCGCAGTCCGCGTCTTCTCTTGACCATGAAATGCAAGGCACAGACACGGGCAGCTCGAGTGGCCCAGATCCTGCTCTGGCCGTTGCTGCCGCCGCCGCTGCTGCTACTGCTGCCGTGAATGCGTCCATCGGTGGAGCGCCTGCCGGTCCACATCCATTTGCCTCGGTGGCATCTGCTGCGCCTGCGCCTGCGCCTGCACCTGCGCCGTCCGCTGCCAGAGACTCAGCTGTTAATCCCAAGCTGACGCGACTCCGCCGAGCCTGTGACATGTGCTCCCAGCGCAAGGTGAAATGCGACGAGACGGCCCCATGCAGGCCCTGCCGAGACCTCAACGTCGAATGCACCTTTCACCGAGCCCTCAAGAGACGCGGTCCCCCGAACAAGCACGCCGAGGCTGCTCGCGCTGCCCAGCGCCCTCGACTCGAGCCCGGCCCGACACCTGCAGGCAATGGTTTTGCCTACAACAACGGCTTGGGCCCGACACCCTCGCCGCATAACGCCGCCCAGACCCTTGTGTCCATCGCAGAGGGCCCTGCAGCCACAGCCTACACTGCCGAATCGATTGCTCCTATGCCTGTGTTGGAGCTCCTCGTTGACGACTTCTTCACCTACATCCACCCCCTGGCGCCTTTTCCTCACGAACCAACCTTCCGAGACGCCTTCGCTACGCGCCAGGACCGGACGAACCCCGAGTTTTTGAGTCTTCTGGCCTCCATGATTGCCGCTCTTGTGGCGTCCTTTCCCCGGAGCGCTCGCCAGCACCTCAAGGCCCAGCACAGCACGCACCTTTTCCCTCGTGCCATCGTCATGATTGAAAAATGCAGGGATATTGCGCTCCAAGCACGCGGTGCTCTGTGGTCTATCAAGTCGCCCAAGACGCTCGATGATGCTGCGACGAGCTACTTTCTGGGCCTTGCTGCGGGCTACACGTTGCATGTCAATGCCTATCGCCACTTCACGGCTGAGTGCCTCTCGCTGATTCGCGAGCTTGGCTTCCACGCGCCCAAGAACCCGGGCGAACTGCCGACATTTGGCACTGATCACTACTCGAACAACCCCCTGCCTTTCCACAACATCAAAGATCAGATTGGTAAGCGCATATTCTGGTGCCTGCTTCTCGGCGTGCGTTCCTTCTCACAGCTTGGCGCCTCTCACGCCGATCTCGTCATCGCGCCATCAACGCCAAACCTCCCGTACCCATCTCTGCCCGAGAATGTTGACGACCGGTGGATCATGGCCAACGAGATTCAGTATTCAGAGAACAACAACGTCACGCTGCTGACGGGCTTTCGATTCGGCGTTGAGATATACACTACAATGAATGCTATCGTTAGTGTTGAGCTTGTGTATGGTATGAGCACGCTCCCGTGGCCCGATCAGCGCGCCATGCTGCGCGACGCCCTCGTCGCTGCCAAGAACATCATCGATCGTCTTCCGACTGAGCTGCGCCTCACGTCGCAGATTGATCAGCCCGTCTTCGGCGGAGGCTTTGACGATGGGCATCTTCAATACATGCCCCCAGCGTACCCCAACGCGCAACCGGCAAACGACATCCGCAACGTCATCAAGAGCAACACGCAACGGCGGCGCCAGCTGCAGTACGACATTCAGAAGGCTAACATTCTTGTGTCGCAGCTCGCGACACGGTCCTACTTCGTTGAGCTATACTTCAACCTGCGCGATGTCTACCTTGCAGATCCCAATCGTTCCATCATCGACGAGAGCACGATTGAGGGCAAGGCCGCCAAGGAGGCTGAGGATGTTGAAGCCGAGCGCATCTTTGAGCTCATGACGGCCGAGCGCGAGCTTATCGTCCAGGATCTGCTGCACGTCCTCGGGTCAATCCCGCAGCGAAACATGGAGCCGAACGGAGGATCGCTCATCAACAAGGTGCGCCAGGTGGCGTCGACCCTTCTCAATGATGCCCCCGAGCGCAAGGGTCCCGTGGCAGTCAAGTCCGAGGCTGCGCTCTCGCGGCTCATCGACATCTTGATCAAGCTTGAGGGCACTGGACCAGGTCATGCGGGCCACGGAAACGACTCCAACATGACGCCCCAAGACGAGGAAGAAGAGTTGCGTTTGTGGTCGAGTCTCAGAGACTACCAGCGGCAGTTTGCTTACCAGAGCGGGTATGAGGGGCGGGACTAGGGTGGCGATCGTGGTTTGCCGCACGACGGCTACGCTTTGTACTATTACGGTGTGATTGGAACGGCGTACGGCGACGATGGGAAAATGCGCCAACGGCGCCTTCGACATGGGTGTCAAGTTTGTATGTGTAGCATAGCCTTAATGGCACCTGAGGAATTGGGTGCGAGTCGCTGTGAGACACCATGCCAACGCTCGATGCCGTGAGACAGCCGCGCAAGTCCATGCCACGCAGGACTTGGAACGCTCTGTGCTATTTTTGCTTCAATGTGTTCTTGGGCTTGGTGACTACAAAGGCAAAAAGGCACGGCCCCAACGCGCCGGGGATGGCAAAAGATATTCCGAACCAGGGAATCGAACCCTGAGCCTGACGGTGAGAGCGTCAAATGTTAGCCATTACACCAGTTCGGATGTTGAGTAGTGCTTCGGGAAAGCCATTCATAGAGCTTGCGGGGCTTGTGGGGTTGCTTCTCGTAGGTCGCGATCTGTCGGTTGCCATACTTTCTTGAGGCCTAGAGCCGGGATACTTCGGCTTACACTGCTCCTGGGCTTGAATGAGGATCAAAACATGTCGGCTTAACGATTACTCGCCACCATCGCCCGTGCAGCCGATCATTTGGATCTACAGCCTGAGGGATCAGAATGCGCATTCTTCATCCAGAGTTGTTTCCTCCTCTGAAAGCTGTGGCAGGGCTCGACGGCTCATTCTCGAATTTACTATAAGTACTTGGATTAATTTCAGTATCTTCACTCCTTCGTTGACTCGTGTTTCTCTGAAAGTCAATTGGTATTCGAGCCAGTAGTCTATCCGAATAAGCCCTCTAAATAGCTTGTTTCACCAGATTTCACAAGTCATCTCATTGAAAAGGTCGTCTCAGTCAATATAGATCAAACTACGTATGTTTGGTCTACTGTTCAAAAATCTGGAGTACAGCAGGTGTTCTTCTAGGCAAAGAATCTATGATTTTAAACTTAAACACAAGTCAGAGGGCTGGTAGCTGATCGTGCCGGAAATTCTGGAAGCGTTTCAATTAAATCCCTACATCCCATCTTTCCGAGTATTACCTCATGAAAAATAGACATTTCATGACAGGTCAAGGCGCATTTGGCCCAAAATCCATTGTCCAATGGAGCTATCTCGCTGTTTCTGGGGCTTAGAGACACATATATCGCCAGGTTTGATTTCCGCCATAAAAACCCACGTATCTTATGAGGCCCTACATGGATTTTGTGTCACAAAACCTTCATACTAGTTCTAAAGACTAGTGACCAAATAAAAACTTGAACACGTAGGTAGGCCAAGCTCCAGCCGCCATGCTCAAATAAAAAAAATTTACAAGGGTTCATTAGATTGAGCACTGAGAAGCAAAATATTAGCAATCTCCAGGTGTTCGGGGCACTAAATTGGTATAGCCGAATACGGTAGTAGGGATCCGGCCTGATAGCTCCTCAACAATGCCTGCCAGGCTCAGCTCAAACTCCTATGCTAACCTGAGTTCCAAGAAGCCAATGAATGGCTCACGGCTTGAATCTGTGTTTTCCATATCGACAAAGTGAACGAAAGGTCCGAAGGGATGAGCATTTAACGAGGTGTTGCATCAAAGAGGTCGATGGGTAGCCGTCTGCTCGCGATATCTCCTTATGCGATTGCTCTCCTGACGTCAATCCCTTTGTCAGCATCACCGTCACATTACGACTTTACATGCTTCCTCCATCTACAAAGAGTGTCATGGGATGAGCGGATCACATAGAATATGATCATGAACAACTCGTCTCTGAGAAGAACACCCAGGCAAGCTGGCTCATACTTCACTCTCGTTCCCTAGGCTGACATTCGTTGCAGCGCGGCGCCAAACTCAGATCCAACCAGCCATGACCCAGCCGTGAGCCTCACTAAACCCAAACGCTCGCGTGTCAGCAACGCAAAAGCCAAGACCGGGTGCATAACGTGCAAGAAGCGACACGTCAAGTGCGACGAGACGAAGCCGTACTGCCGCAAATGCCTCGCCCTCCGAGGGCACTGCGAAGGCTATGCCCCGCCAAAGATCCCCAAGCAGCGCGGTCGCGTTGCCGCTGTGGCCAGGACGGCAAATATGCTGCATCAGACCCTTCTGGATCCCGATCTCCTCGACTTTCATGATGCCACAGGATTGAACTATTTCAACGAGTTTGTCAAGCTGTCGCAGGCCCCATGGAATGTCGCGGCATCCAGCGGGGATCTCTGGAGTGTTTTGCTGCCACAGCTCGCTCGCGCCAACGACACGCTTCGCCATGCTGCCATGGCCATCGGCGCGGTGAGTCTGGGAGATCGAGATTTGCATTCGAGCGAACACCGTAAGACTCCAGCGGGTCCGGGGCCCCCGAATTACAGCCCTCGTGAACTTCACGCTACTACGTACCTCTGCCACGCGCTGAAGCTCCAAAGCCGCAGCAGCTCGGTGCAGGACACCATCTTCCTGTCCGTCATGCTTCTCTACTTTGAGACTCTCCGGGGTAACATCAAGGCTGCCTTGGACCATGTCAACCATGGCCTCGCGCTCCTTCTCACACTCACCACGAGCCAAGAAGCGAATGCTCACATAAGAAGCCTGGCCCCCAATCCAGGTCCTTTGCTGGGTGCCGTGACCAATGTCTTTTTCGTCCTCGCTGCTCAGGCGCGGCACATTCTCACCGGTCGCGTCGGCGACTGCAGGCCACTGCCACACTTTGCGAAAGGCCTCCGTAATGCGTCTCGCTCCATGGAGTCGTTCATGCACCTCCTCTGCCAGCTGTGGCAGCCTACCGTCATGAACGACGTGCCCGAACTGTTTGGCACCCTCGACGAATACGAGCATCACTGGAACTATCTCCGCCGGGCTCAGTCCGCCATCGGGCCCCTCATGCATGACTTGGTGTTATCCTCCGGTGTCATCGGCTGCTCCGACGCAGCCGCGATCAACACGTCCATCCACCACATCCTAGGCCATCCACAAGTCCTCGCCTTCTATGCCGACAATAGGCAAAAGATGCAGACCCTAGAGAAAGCCTTCCTGCCCCTCTTCCACAGAATCATGCTGCAATCCCGCGATTCCAAAGACTACCTCCGCGCCCTGCACCTCCGCCTCCAGTACCTCGGCGCAACCCTCTTCGAGAACGCGCCGCAATTCCTCAGCATCGACGCGGTGCGGGCGCTGACGCCCCTGTTCCGCGAATTCCTCACCACCGCCTCGGCCGCGCTGCGCGCCGCCCGCCTGACGGCCGACAAGCCCGCGTACGGCACGTCCCTGCAGTGCGGGCTGTCCATGTGGCTTTTCGGCACGGCGCTCTTCTGCCGCGACGCCGTGGTCCGAGACGAAGCCGTCGTCATGCTGGGTGAGTATCCCGGCCAGGACGGGCTCTGGAGCACGCGTGCGCTGCATGTGCTCGCCGTGCGGAACCGAGACGTGGAGAAGGCGAATGCGGTCGAAGGGAGCGACACGGAGCAGTGGGCGCGACTGTGGCGGCGGGAGTACGCCCTGGAAGAGGGCGGGGCCGAAGTCATCTTCCGGTACATGAAACGTGATGAGCATGCGGCGGGTTGGGCCATGGTAGAAGAGGGAGCAGTCGTGCCCGCTGTCGGGAAAGCGGCGTGGGTGAAGAGGCGGCCGAGGAGCGAGAAGCTGCTCATGGAAGACCTCATGCTGTCGACCTAGCAGAACAGCATGGTATACTGCTCCACCTTGGATGCCACGTATACGTGTACGAACATGGCCAATTTATTTGTTCTTCGTAGTGCAAGGAATATTAAACCTTCGGCTCGATGTGGTAATTGTTGCAGGGCCCGCTTTCTACCCACGATGCACAGCATACCCTGCGAGATGCGGGCAAGAGAGCGTGACCAACACATGAACATCGGCATTCAAGGGGTCTGGTTGTTCTCATCTCGCCCGAAGTGACGGCTTGTATGGTCGATTTATTGTTACATAGTACATACATGTAGTATGTCTTGCCACGTGACTTGATATGAAGACAGAGGAAAACCCACCGGTTGGGGATGACGTGATGAGTCTCCGCAGTCTGTGTGCAATATGACCCAGGAACATCCTCGTACCGATGGCTTGGGGATGCTTGACAGAGAATTTGTACTTGCACAGAGCGCGCCGCAATTCAGGTTGATTTTGACCAAGCTGGCTGTATTGGTGAGTGGCGGGAACGAACAGCACCACTCAATCGATCGTCTTTACGGACCATGGCCTTCACCTCAATCCCTCTTCTGGATCTCGCGCTCGCAGAGTCACCTAGCACTAAGCCTAAGCTGCTTGAAGAGCTTCGACATGCGCTGCTCGACGTGGGCTTCCTCTACGTTACGAATCATGGCGTTCCAGACACTGTCATAGCAAATCTCACGGCAGCTCTGCCCAAGCTCTTTGGGTTGACGTCCGGTCAAAAGGCAGAAGCGGCGCTTGCCGGCTCGCCTCATTTCCTCGGATACAGCGAGGTGGGCACCGAGACAACTGCCGGTGCTTCTGACCACCGCGAGCAGTTTGAGTTTGCGACTGAACTGCCAGCATCCTGGACCCTTGGACAACCGCTCGCTGAGCGGTTGCGCGGACCCAACAACTACCCACCCGCGCTGCCGTCAATCCGACCAGTGGTAGAAGCGTACATTGCTGAGCTCACGCTCCTCGGCGAACGCTTTCTCGGCCTCGTGGCAGAGGCACTCGACCTCCCAGAAGAGACGTTCCTACCATTCCTCTCCGACCAGCATCGCCTCAAAACAGTGCACTACCCAGCACAGCCTGATGGAGCCCACTGCCAGGGCGTTGGCGCACACAAGGACTCGTCCGGCTGGTGGACCTTCCTGCTACAGGCATCGCCTGAGGTTGGCGGCCTGCAGGCTCTCAACCAGACTGGCACGTGGGTCGACGTGCCGCCTCTGGCCGGCACGTTTGTCGTGAACATCGGACAGGCGTTCGAGGTCGTGACGCATGGCGTGTGCCGCGCGACCACGCATCGGGTGCTCAGCGGATCGGAGGAGCGGTTCAGCGTGCCCTTTTTCCAGGGCGTGCGGCGGAGCTTAACGAGAGAAGAGGCCTTCCATTCGCTGCGAGGACACTTTGAGCGGTTCGAGGGTGGAGGGGTCGAGTCGGCGGAGGGTAGGGACGTCGACTCGGCCTTCTTGAGGGGCGGGTATGCGACGTGGGGCGAGAGCCAGCTGCGAACAAAGGTGAGAAGCCACAGAGAGGTGGGGCAGCGGTACTACGGCGATGTTTTCGAGCGCTACGTCAGCGAGTAGCACACCACCTTTGAGTCAGTACGTCAATTGACTCAGCGCGCAGCGATTCGGGAAACCGCCATGGTCTCTGAACTGAGGATGAACTGGATCATGTCTTTTGCTGGGACGGCGGCGCAAAGGCGGCCTCACAGGCTCCAAAGGGGGGCCTGCAGATCGGTCAGGGGATGCACCAGCGAAGGGGACAGACGACTGACCAGTGGAGAATAAGCATATTCATGTTGATCTCCGACTGACTAGTAAAGCAATGCAAAGTTTTGTGTGTGCTGGTACGCTGTACCAAGTAATGTACCAAGTCGGCATTGATCGCTCGGATCACCCGAGGTTGGCAGTGAGGCAGTGTTGGCTTGTTTTGTTGTGGTGCACGTCTTTCTCGTTGCATAACCCGCGTTCGTGTTGACTGGCCTGTGGAGGGGGATCCACCTTGGGGATGGAGGCAGGTCCATTTGTGGAAGCGGCAGAGGCCTGACGGAAAGAATGCACTGACGAGTGGAAGGCGCCAGCGACCAAACGGGGGGCACAGGGCAGTAACAGGGCACAGCGGGACCAGAACAGGGCAGAATGAGGCAGCAGCGACGGCTGGAGCTGGCGCCAACCAAGCAAGACTGGGCAGGAACCAGGCACACCAGGCATCCAAGGCAGGAAGGCGGCAGGGGACCAGGCGAGCAAGACGAGGTACCATCAACAGGTTCACCAACAGGTTCAGCGCAGCATCGACCAGTCCAGGCCATTGCTCAAGCCCGATCGGAAAACCACGTCGTCCATGGCTTAAACAGGTAACCGGTCGGAGAATTCCTCGTCGATTCATATTATGCACGTAGACCACATGCGGCGAGCGACCCCTACGTAAGCCGCCCCACCTCATCTCCCCTTTTAGAACCCTCCCGTCCAATAGCTGGTGACAGATCAACGGGCCAACCGGCACGGATACGAACGGCACGTGCCAAGCCCTACCCCTGTCCATTCCCCTTAATTTCGCCCTCATCTCTCCTCCTTGCTTCCCCATCCCCCCTGTCTATTGTCTTTAACGTCAAAACATCACCTTTTCCTCTTTACACTCGCTACTCCCGAACTTGAGACTCCTTCTTTCGGGACCTCGACATTTCTTTGCAGCAACCCATTCCAGGCTCGCCTCACTCTTTCTTGGCGCCTCACCACACTCGCTCTTTCTTTGACCAAACTTCGCACGACTTCTTCGTCTGTCGTACCGATCCCGGGACACGACCTTTCGTACAACCTCTTATTTTCCTGCTTCTCTACAGAAAATCACTTAATTACACCCCGTCACGATGCGCGTCTCCGCCACTCTTGCTGCTGGCGCCCTCGCCGTCAGCGTGTCTGCCCAGAATTACCTCGGCTTCAACTCGGGCGCCACCAAGGCCGACCGCTCTGCCAAGTTCAAGGCCGACTTCGAGGCCGAGTTCAAGGCTGCGCAGAAGCTGCCCAACGCCCCGGGCAACTTCAACGCCGTCCGTCTCTACACCAACATCCAGGCCTACTCCCAGGATGACCCCATTGAGGCTTTCGAGGCTGCCATTAATACCAAGACGTCCATCCTGCTCGGTCTCTGGGCCTCTGGCACCGATAACATCGACAAGGAGGTGTCTGCCCTGAAGAAGGCCGTCGACAAGTTCGGCACCAACCTGACCGATCTCGTCATCGGTGCCTCCATGGGTTCCGAGGATCTCTACCGTATCTCTGTCATGGGTAGGAAGAACAAGGCTGGTGCCGGTAACTCGCCCGACGCCATTGTTGGCTTCATCAAGGACTTCAAGAATGCCTTCAAGGGCACTGCCCTCAGCTCCGTCCCCGTTGGTCACGTCGACACCTGGGACGCCTGGTCCAACGACACCAACAAGGCCGTCATCGACGCTGTTGACTTCATCGGTGTGAACGAGTTCCCCTACTACGAGGACAAGAAAGGCAACAGCATCAACAACGCCAGCCACCTCTTTGACAGGGCCTACGACACCACCATCTCTATTGCTGGTGGCAAGCCCGTCTGGGTCACCGAGACTGGCTGGCCCGCTTCTGGCCCCGTCTGGGACGAGGCTGTTGCTTCTGTCCAGAACGCCAAGTACTACTGGAACGAGGTCGGTTGCCGTAAGCTCTTCGGCAAGACGCCCACCTTCTGGTACACTCTCTTTGACTCCAACCCCGACAACACGATGAAGTTCGCCATCACCGAGTCTGTCGGCGGCAAGCCCCTCTACGACCTCAGCTGCCCCAAGACCTTCGACGCCGACAAGCCGAAGTCCCAGTCCTCCTCTTCCATTGCCGCCCAGTCCACCTCTGCCACCGCTTCCCGCTATAGCAACGCCACGGCCACTGGCAGCGGCTCCGCCTCGGAGACGTCTGCCATCCCCGGTGGCAACGGCTCTAGTTCTCACTCTGGCTCTGGTTCCCACTCTGGCTCTGGCTCTGGCTCTGGCTCTGCATCCCCCTCGGGCTCTGCCTCCCCCTCGGGCACTGGCTCTGGCTCTGGCTCTGGCTCTGGCTCTGGCTCTGGCTCTGGCTCTGGCTCTGGCTCTGGCTCTGGCTCGGGCTCGGGCTCGGGCTCGGGCTCGGGCTCGGGCTCTGGCTCTGGCTCTGGCTCGGGCTCGGGCTCGGGCTCTGGCTCTGGCTCTGGCTCTGGCTCTGGCTCTGCATCCCCCTCGGGCTCGGCCTCTCCCTCGGGCTCCGGCAACGGCTCTGGTGCCAACGGCGGCTCTGGTTCGGGTTCTGCCGAGGACCCCGCCTCCACCGAGGGTACCTCCCCCACCGTCCCCGAGTCCTCGGCCGCCTCGCTCCAGAAGACGGCCGCCGTTGCCGCCCTGGCGCTCGTCGCCGGCCTCTTCACTCTTGCTTAAGCGCCTCGCTTGAGCTCTTGGTGAAGGAGAAAAGCAACATGTCTTTCATTGGATCTTGGATTCGTGGGTCTCGGTCTTGGTTCTTAGCGGATCTGGTTTATTCGAGCTTGTTACTGGGGTTTTTGTACACACATAGATGAGCTATAATGCATCTCATTGCCTACTACATGCGTCTTGTTTAGTGAATTGTCCCAGCGTCTGCGTGGTGAGTGCCATGATTGCTGCATTTGTTAAGTTTCGAGTGGATCAATGATCTCGGTTGCAGCATCAGTGTCGTATTGCCATCTCTTGTGCCCGATTACGCTTTCGCGCAGCCATGTTATTGTTCTGCAGCATGCCTGGCGGGGTTGCACCACCGCGTATGGAGAGTGGATGAGGCAGAGCTTGGGAGGGTCCTCTCGCAGGTGTTGCGTTGTGAACGGGGCGATCTGGAGCAGCGAGACATTGCGAAGTTTGTCTGTCCATGACTGTCTAGTCTATTGAGAGTTTGCCATCCGACACGACGCGGGTCTCATCAACGGTGCTCAGGGGACTGTGGCGGAGAATCGTGACAGGCAGGTGTTCCTGAAGAGGGTTATGTGCATTCACCTCTTCCTGGATGCAGCAGATGGGCAGTTAGCTGTATATGCGTGCAGGGTCTCGCTGAAATACAAAAAAAAACAAACAAAGACCGGCAGAGCAGCATGTGTTGTTGCAACTCAATCATCTACACTACATTGCCAAGGCTAAGCAGCCCCATCTCGAACATCTGCTTGGCTCTTCACGAGCGGTTGACTCGGCCGAGAGGTTTCGGGACAGGCCACCTCGTGGCAGTGAGACAGCGCCGCTGGACCAAACTTGGCGTCTTGCCCAGAGCAGGTTTCTTGCACGATCCAAAGTGTCTCAAGCACCTGCCGGCGGAAGCGTTCAGTGCGCAAGTCGACTGGCCCATGAGCCACGGCGCGCGCATTACAAATTCAACATGGAGCCATCTTGCCCCCGAATGATGCCATTGGTGTGCCCCTCATTCTGGTGTACCACTGATTGGGTCGTCTTACAGAGGGATTCTCAGGACGTTGAGTCTGTCTGTCGTTCAATTGATGCTGGCACCAGGACGTCTTCGTCTGGGCTGTTGATGGAATGGGCGGCCGGCGCGTTCTTCATTAATCGTCGAGTGTGAAGCCCAAGACAAGTCGTCGTCCGCAGGGCGCGCGGGGGTTTGCGTAGGGCGCGGCTACTTGCGGTCATGAGGTGCAGGTTCCGGCGGCGGCGGCCGGCGACTCCGGCTGAATCATGCAACGGTGATTGACCAACCCGAGGCTGAACCGAGACAAGCGTGATAATGAAAAAAAAGTCTTATCTCGCTCCAAGGGTCCGCTAAAGGCCCGCTAGGCCCCGCCGCTCTGATCAAGAGTTGACGACCAGGAGCATCTCCATCTCTACACCTTCTACCCTGCCTTCAACCTTGCCAGCCTAGCATCGCGAGCACCCTATCGTTGCCCTCGACTCGCCCTCGACTGACCTTCTTCAACACAGTCAGTCACCACATCATGGCCGAGACGCAGCCCCTCCTCGGCCCCCGGGCTGAGCCTCAGGACCCCCTCGCCTGCCTCGATGATCCCAAGCCCGTGTTCGACTTTGATCCCAACGGCGACTCGGACAACCCTCGCGAGTGGCCGGCGTCGTTCAAGCGGAACATTGTGGCCCTGCTCGCCTGCATGGGCCTTTACAGTCACCTTCACCTGCATCTCCGTGGTGCCTGTCGCCCATCAGATCGTCAGCGAGCTCGATAATGGCCGCCCCAACGACTCGGCGAGCGCCCTGCTCGTGACCATCTGGGAGCTCGGAGAGGCTGCTGGTCCTCTTCTGATTGCGCCGCTGTCCGAAGTCTACGGCCGCTACCCCGTCATGAACGTGTGCAACGTGCTCTTCATCGCCGCCACCGTTCTGGCCGCCGTCAGCCAGTCGTCGACTCTCTTCATCGCCGCCCGCGCCCTGACCGGTCTCGCCGTCGCCTCGAACGTTCTGAGCCCCGCCATCATTGGTGACATTTTCGAGCCCGACCAACGCGGCTCGGCCATGAGCCTCATGATGCTCGCGCCTCTCATCGGCGGCGCTGTCGGTCCCGCCATCAGCGGTGCCGTCGCGCAGACGCTCGGCTGGCGCCAGGTCCTCTGGATGAGCGCCGGTCTCGCCGTCGCTTGCGAGATCCTCTTCCTGACCTGCTTCCGCGAGACGTACAAGATGGTCATCCTCCGCAAGCGCGCGCCGGAGCTGTACCGGCAGCACCAGCTGGACCTGGAGCCCAAGGAGGCGAGCGACCACGGCAGCCTCCTGAAGCTGTGGCACTCGGTGACGCGGCCCATGTCGGTCCTCTTCAGCTCGGGCGTGCTCCTCGCGCTGTCCCTCTTCGGCTCCATCTCCTTCAGCTACTTCTACGTCATGTCCATCACGCTGCCCGACATTCTGCAGGACATCTACGGCTTCTCGCCGGCCCTCACGGGCTCGGCGTTCATCACCTTCAGCATCGGCTCCTTCGTGGCCATCGCCGTCTGCAACGTCGGCCTCGACCGCATCTACATCCACCTCCGCGCCCACGACCCCGAGGGCGGCAAGCCCGAGCACCGCCTGCCCCTCACCATCGTCGGCGCCTTCGCCCTGCCCCTCGCCGTCATGGCCTACGGCTGGGCCGCCGAGCTGCGCCTCCCCGTGCCCCTGCTCCTCCTCGCCGCCGCCCTGCTCGACGGCTCGCTGCTGCTGGCCATGGTGCCCGTGTCGGCCTACGTCGTCGACGCCTTTGGCCTGTACTCGGCCTCGGCCATGACGGGCGTCATCGTCACGCGCTGCCTCATGGGCACCTTCCTGCCGCTGTCCACCGGCCCGCTGCGCGCCCGCTTCGGCTATGGCTGGGGTTTCACCATTCTCGGCGCCGTCAGCCTGTGCTTGGCGCCTATTCCCATCTTCATCATGCGCTATGGCGCCACCTGGAGGAAGGCGTCGCTGTACTCGAGGGAGACGTGAGGTGTTTGGCTCTGGGGCTGCGTTTCGCACTTGGTGGTTTTTGGCATGGCGCATAGCGACGGCTGGGTAAAAGTTGCAGTATAGATAATGACTTGTTCTTAAAGAGAAATTTCTTGCCCTCAACTACTTTCAGAATCTGAGTCCAGATCACTATCGCTGCTGGAGTCAACCTCGTACACCGCTACCTCGTCATCCGATCGGGTGTTCCAATTGTCAAATTCACACCCTTGGACGCTTCCTGGGTGGCTTGTCCTCTCTGCACGGGCTCCATATTCTCTGAGGTACCGGCCAATGGCTTTGGATCGCACATTCTTGCGCCCCAGCCCATGAATTGACCGTATCCTCAGCCTCTCGTGAATGAACAGCGGACTCATCCCCTGAAGCAAGTTGAATCGGCTTAGGGGTTCTCTTGGTCCATAGAGATGCCCGTCGTGTACCCCTGAAGCGTTGACATCGGCACCTGCTTTCAAGAGATATCTCGTGGCGCGGCTGTCGTTGAGCGACACGGCGACCTGTAAAGGCGTGATTCCGAATCCTGCGGGGTTGGTCTGAGCTCCATTGTCAAGAAGCATCAGAATAATGCATTGATCCTGATCGCTTGTCGCCGACCGCCGTGGTCGCTGATGGTGGGGACAGTACAGCCCTCTTGGTTCAGCATGCGATGCAAGGACGATGAAAAGTATGCCCGGAATCTGGGGAAGAAACAAAGATCCAAAGTCTCGGCAAAGGTTGAAAAAAGCTGTGGCTCGCCAATGATCATTCCCATCCCCTGGCATGCCAAGCCTGGTAGCAAACCATTGAGGCAGGGCTCCCTCGAACTCGTATGTGGCAAAGGCCTCCTCGTCCGTTTCACAAAAATGCAAAGCATCTTTCCAGCGCTTCGTCGTCGTGGTTAACATTTCTACTTGTTCCGACACAGAATGGCGGAGAATAAGGTCTTTGGCAAGGTCATACAAACCAAATTCGAATAACCCCTTTGTAATCTGTGTGGCCCTCAACAGTTTCCCGTGCCTGTCCGAGTCAGCTATTCGCATGATCCACAGGTGTCCTTGTATCATAACTTCCAGATCGAGTGACTCGTCGCATCCTGCCTTGAAGAATAATTGCATGTTGCTTCGAGGCACTCCCTGAGTATCAAAGAATAAGCGTATGAGGCTCTGATCCTCAAGCAGTATACGTCTTTGTGCTAAAAGACGCAAACACCAGGCCACCTGATAACCTGCAAAACTGGTTAAAACTGGATGCCAGGGATAAGACGATATGTCGGCTGTACAACTCAGAGCCTCGTTCATTGCTGGCTCTATGAGTGCAATCAGATCAGGGGGTCTGAACCGTTGTGACGCAGTACTTTCAATTCGGTCTGAAGTGAGGTATTCAGCAACGGTGTAGTGCGCGAGACCAATCGTTGTCAACGATTCACTCGTTGCCGTAATGTTCGGCCACCAATCTGGACGATTGGGGACACGAGGATATTCTTCTTTGAACCGAACCAGGCAACCGAGGGCGTTGCGGAGATTTTGTTCCTTCAGAAGAAATTGAATATCGCTGGTTTGAGGGTCTCTTGTCTCCGGGTGTATTGCCTGGATGAGCACCCTGACAGGAATATCATTACACTGGCTGTGCAGAGTCTTGTGATGGCGAATCCAGGAGAGTGCATCCCTGACAAGAAGATCGTCTTCACCAATCTCCTCCGTAATCAGTTGAAATATCCTATCGTAGGCTGCATCCAAGCCCTTGGGCATTGTGAGCAGAGCTTGGCGAAGAAAGGATTCTCCTTTGGACTGTATCCGCCGAAGGGTGTCTATCTGGCAAACCGCCCAACGGAACCTTTTCGGTCTATCAGCGACGAACATGGGAGTTCGGGGAGTTGAAGGCCAAGACCGAGCTGGCGAAGTTCCTGGCCAATGTACTTAACATGCCTTCCGCCTTGGTAGATATTATGTCAGCTGCTTCATTCATGAAAGCTTGATCGAGATACTTGAAATCAGTCGTGCGGCGTCTTTCCAACTCGTTGAATGTAAATTTTTTAATGTCATCTTCCACAAAAGGATTAGACATGTCGACTGATGTCGCGAAAAGGGCCATGTTTTCATTAATATCCTCGTAGTCTCGACTGGTTGCAATGATCTTTAGTTTCTGAAATTTATGTTCGGTGCCAAGCTTGTGCAGCACTCTCAAAAGTTCGGTCCGTGGTTTGCTTTCATCTAAGGCGTCGATCACAATGTAGACGGAGTCCCACATGTTGATGAAGAAAGCCAAGCTGTCAAGCAATTGATGAACACTGGGCTGTCGGCCAGAGCGATAGAAGTCAACGACCTGTTGCGGAATCATCTCAGATCGCCGGCAAAGCTGATTGATAATCCAACGCAAGAAAGGTACCGTCTCATTGCAGTTGTGAGTATGGTGACAGTAGTAGTAGACATGGGCAATCGAAAGAGAGTTACTGCGCTGTGGCTTTCTGTTCGAGGCGGTTCCTATGCCGGATCGCAGTGCTGGCCAATCTTTGTGCATCAATTCCAGACTGTGGAACAGGTGAGAGGCCAAGACGGTCTTGCCGGCACCAGGTATTCCCTTTAGCCACAAACATTGTGGCTTTTCTGCCTCCGGATCTACCCACACTTGCCACGCAGGATCTCGGGAAACCCAGTCACCTGTGCCCTCTTCGTAAAAGGCATGTGCTTCACCGTGTATGCTAGACGGGTCGATAGTCGTGAGCCAATTCAATAAGTTGTGCCGTTCGGCATCTGGATCTTTGTCAATCTACTGGCCCGCCATGTCGTTACCATCGATGCCGAACTAATTGACTTGCCGGTTAGTTTCTTCTGGATATTCCTCACTGAAGTTTTGATCTCCTTGACATCTTTACTGCGCCAGAGTCAGACCTTGATTTATAGTTGCGCGACTTAGCACATGCGACGTACGAGATATTCACCCAGAAGGCCCATAGCGCGTGTCTTCTTCAAGGGCCATGCGAGACGGGTCGCGATATTTTTACTTCTAGATTTCATTGAGAGACGCGAATTGCCGGAATCGATATCTTCCGGCGGAGGCAGCATAGCCTTGAGTTGTGTCAGAGCATCGAGACATCCGGCGATGGAGCCTGACTCTCCCGACAGACTTAACAGCTGGTCAGATTCAAAGTCGGGGTCATGGTCGATGAGAAATTGCAAAATGTCACAGCGTTTCCGACAGACGTGATCTCGATGAGAAGCTTGCGAAAGTCTGCACGCGCATCTTGAACGTTTTCGACGTAGAATTTGCAGTGACTTGCGAGCTTCGCTGAGAGGTCAACAATGGCAATGATGCTTGCGGAGAGCCCAATGGCCTCGGCCATCTTGGTCGCTCAAAGACTGTCGCTACTCTGTAGGGCGCAGAAATCGTCCACTGGAGTCAACCTGCTGCTTTCAGAACCGAGGGCAGGCCTCTCCGCAACGAGCTTCTGGCGAGAGATTGAGAGAACTCGCTGACGGGTTGCGGGCAGGGGAAGTGCCGACAAGAAGAGGATAAGATCTCAAATTTGCGACACGAGAGGGGGTTGACCGAAGCCTGCACTTGCCGCTTGTCGGGGGCTGTGCCATGCTGTCGCACGAATGAGACATCACCATAGTATCCAGTGGCACGCCACATTGGCTGGCCAGCTGCAGGTTGGTTGTTATGCATAGGTCTGAATCGCCATCTTCCTGGTGCTAGAGCAGGCTGGGGCTGAACCGCCCATCACGGGGAAATGAACGTAGGCAGAGGCAGCCTGACTGGGAGCTGCCTTGGCGCATGTCTTATGGATGCCCGACAACCTAACCAAGGAGGATTGAACGACTTTTGAACGCCGGACTCCAATCACCAACACTGTTCAGTCCGCTGACGCAGACGCAATCCCTCATTCCGGTAGCCGGTATCTCACACTGGAAATCTATTTCACGGGAATGATAATCGTCAACTCGTCTTGTTTCTGAGTAGTCAATCTACCATGAAGCTATGTGCTAGTACTTTTTTAAATAGCGACGCACAGCCACCTAAGGCAGGCAGGTAGTGAACTTGGACAGCCTGGCAATGACAGGCGCCTGCTGCGCAGCCGAAGCAGTCGTCTTGTCGGCAGCGTCACCAATGCTAACGGTAGCGTAGCAGGCATCAGTCCTCAGAATGACGCTCGTCTCGGTGGGCAGCCTGGTGCTGCCGCAGCTGAGGGCGTCCTGGGCGGAGAAGATGCCGGGGTTGAGCCTCGTCAGGACGAACTTGAAGTCGTTGGCCGTCTTGCAGCGGTCATCGATGTTCTGGAAGTTGACGTTGAGCCAGACGTTCTCGGGGAGGTAGGGCTTGCCGCCGGCGACGACAGCGTTGACGAGGCGCGTCGCGAGCTCGGCGTAGACGGTGCTGCGCGTGGGCACGGGTTGCGTGTTCCAAGCGAGCGTGCCGCTGCTGGAGCCAGAGAAGGCGATGGAGGGGAGCTTGCGGTCCTTGGCGGCGAAGACGGCGCCGCCAACCGTACCCGAGAAGGGAACTTGGACCCAGATATTGGAGCCAACGTTGGGGCCAGTAACGGCGAGATCGGCGCCCTGGGGCCAGGACTGCTTGACGAAGTTGTCAATGCCATAGCGGAGAGCTGTCACAGGGAACGAGTTGACCCAGTGCAGATCGGGCGAGGTGGCGTTGACGCCAAGAGGACCGCTGTTGGCGGGGCACGAGTTGTATTGGCAGGGTTCGGTGCGAGGCTTTGGTTCCTCGTCGTTAGAGCCTAGGGTTGGTGGTCAGCTTTGGGGTTACACGGCAGACGACGAAGGGCGGGACGGACCACTGCCAGACTTGTTCTCAGCGGGCGCAGAGAGAATGACCTGGTGGCCGGCCGCCTTGAAAGCGGCATTGGCAGAACGGGCGTACAGTTCGGCCCAGCCATCATCGTTACCCTGAATGATGCGCACACCCTGTGCAATGGTCGCGAGCTGCGCCAGAACGGCGAGAGACGTCGCACAGACACGCATGTTGAGCTGTCAAGCTGTCAAGCAGTTTGTTTGTGGGGACTTGTGGGTGCACTGGGGGCAGCTAAACTCCTTGGCGAGTGGATTGTTGTGAGGATGATGGCTTCGTCCTTGGCTTCAACTTTGCAAGGAGAGAGCCGCAAAGCTTCTATTTAAGCTCTGACCAAAGGCATGACAACAGGCACACGGAGAACACCTGCCCTTTCAAATGAATCACGCAGCCCACGTGCATAATGTTGATTCCCAATTCCCAGGTGCTGGCATACTGATCGACACCCAATTCCGGCAAGCTCCATGCTGGCCCCCTCCAGCGACCAGGGAACTTGACTGATGATCGCCAGCCAATGACTCCCCCAGCATCCCGCATTAGCCAGGCCTGCCAAAGAGTTCCAGATCGCCAGGGGGAGCTTCTACGGCGTCTAGCCAACATCCTGTCATGGATTCGAAGAGCAAATGCTGCGCAAGCTGAACGCTCAGGCGCCATGGCTTGCGACACGTGCATGTTCAACATCAGCTCTGCCGTTCTCCTTCAAGTTGTCATGTCCGTGGTGGCTGCGGGGAGTGTTACTGCAGACGGGGTAGCTACTGTTAAGCGTGCCAGGCGCCCGAGTTGCTGCATCGGAGATCAGACCGATCGGGCTAGACCCAAGACTGGTTGGTGACATTGGCTGCGACCGATGACGGAAACCTAGACTTGCACATGCTTTTGTATCGTGCCATTCTTGTCATGCTGGTCGCCTGAGAAAGACATGTTGCGGAGAAAGCACATTCAAGTCTGAACGGGCAGTTCAACTCTTTTCCAGTTCACGTATCAGCTCCGAAAGATCAGGAGAGGCTGGCGGCTACGCTTGTGTCGGTTAAACACTCGTTTCATACAGATTACTGGCCCCCCCGCCCTGAACTGGCAGACAGGATGCATGTAGTGTGTCTGGCATGTGGTCTGGCATGTGATGATAGGCACTCGCCTGTGTGTTCGACGGACTTGCTTCCCCTGGAACAATTTGGCGACAGTTTCTGATCACGACGTGATCAGGACGACACAAGATGTACACGCAATACCTCATGTCGATTGATCAAAGGAGCCCGCCGCCCTCGGCAGATGCACAGATTCCGGCAGCCGGGGCAAGGCCCGGTATTTCTGATGACCCCCGCAATCCCCTCGCGACGCTATCAATAGTTCGTCGGCAAAACATCTCTTCGCTGAGTCGCGATCAGAGACATGGGTACCCGGCCATCAAATATGCCCACCCAGCCGCATTGTTCCTGAGGTAGCAATTTTTGACCGCTGCCCCGCTGCTGCGAAACCACACCGCAAAAGCGGTCCACTGATGTTGACAGCTGCTATTTATTGTCTGCTAAACACGATTGCTGGTCCCCAGTTGCGACACGGCGAGAGAAATGTCCGCAAAGTCGTTGCTGCAGTCAATAGATAAATGCCAGTTAAGCGCGCATCTGAGATCTATACCTGTGAAGTCCTCCGTACACTTTGTACTCTCGTGGCATCTGTACCCTTTGGAGCGCTCCCTGGCGTGCGGCGTCTGTTCGACTGATGGGTGTGCTCAGGAGAGGTATCAATAATGCATTGTCCAAACGCTAGTCGTCTGGTAAACTGGCAAGGGACTTGCAAGCGTTGGCTCGAGAGCCTCAATCTATACGTTCATTTGATTAGCTACAAGTGATTGCAGTTTGCTTGAGCATAGAATGGACAAAACTTGACACGAAAAACTTCAAGCTCTCTCAAATGCGACTGGATGACATTTTCCGTCAGTCGGTCTATAGTGACGACACCCTAAGGAACATAAGTTGTATGATAGAGATGCGCCAGCATGTACCGAAGAACGCTGGCAAGCAGTATTAGCCAATGTTCATTTGCGCTACTTCCCAGATTTACTGACTGCGGATACTGCCTATGGAATATCTCTTTCCTCTACGCACCCACACGCTCTGACAAAAATCTTGTTCATAATGGGTCACTGCTCACTCAAAGGATCTTATGAATACCTGTTCTTGTGGTTGGAGATGCTACTTGTGCAAGTGCCGCTACCATGCTCATCTACGTATTATAGGTCTTTGCGCATGAAAACAGTACGAGGAATAGCCCCATAGAACTGTGTCTCAGCTTCATAAAATCCTGGCTCAGTGTGTACGAGGCGATACCCTCTCCTGGCATACCAATCCTGGTTGGCGACCTAATACTCAGAAGTCAGCATGCTTTCCAAGCGATTGAGAATGATCCGCAAAACCCTTGCTCACCTTTGGCTTTTGAAATTTAATCTGGTCGTCTTTGAGCAGAGTGTCCAGCATGAGCGTTGTAGCAGATAGCGGTGGTGACGTAGCCATGCCTTCTAGTTTATCCATGGCTGCTCTGCCGATGCCGCTGGACCGCAGAGCCTTTGAAATGAAAAGACTTTTGATCCATAGTGTTGAGCCCTCGGGCAAGTTAAGGTTGAAACCACGTGCTTCAAAATTTGATATATCCAATGCAATATGGCCGACTGGGAAGAACTCCTTTCCCGACGGCTGTAAAGTGAGACCCCGGAGCGTGGTACAGGTGTCTAAAAGAGGATCGCTTTGCTACATCTACTTATCAGTTTTCATTGTCTCATTTGAGTGAAACCAAATACCCTTACTTTTGGATGGGCCGATTTATGCAGCTGAATCATCTCCCCTGCTTGTGGGTCATGAGATTGTAAAACCTGCGACTGCGTTAAGCAGGTGAAAATGTTGATTGCACGTGCCTACTCAGCAATGTTCGGGTACTCACCAGCCAGTAAATACACTTGATCCCTCCCTGTTGGGCCTCTTTCCAGGCACCGGAGGGTTTGTCGATATGCCAACCACAGTCCACGCGTTGCTGGGTGAGCCGGTCAATGTGTTCAGGGGAGAGTGGATCCCATGGGACGAGGGCCACGGTAGAGGTGGCAGTGTGTTTGACGTGCATATTGGAGATGTGATCTTGATGTTCCACGTTTTGGGATAATGCTGTCTAACGCCAAAGGCTGGAGGTCTCCGGGCTTTTGTTACTGGCACCTGGATGAAATGGCATCCAGGAATTACAGTTATTCGAGTTCAGCTTTTGACCACAAGACGTGACTGCCCTACCCCGCAGAATGACAGGTTGACTCACAAATTCGATTGAGAGCCGACGATAGCCCGCCGCTAAACCTTATTGATGATAGAAAGATCATGATCGGAAGACTTGTGGACCTTCCAATTCAGGGGGTACATCCTCCATCCCAGACCTAGTCGGGCTCTTTCTTTGTTACGTGCTGTAGATGAATACAATGGGTATCAGCTATTTCTGCCATACACAGACATGCAATTCTTCATCAGATGACCAATTGCTCCATAGGAACATCTGCTTTCAGGTATCCTATGCTCGCTGTGTTCGACGCCGCAGCAGCTCCTGGCCACACTCCAGCTCGGAGCGGTGCGGGGCGTCTTATATATGGTAGAATATGGTTCATTCAAAGTATGGTAAGGTAGGTACTATATCGGGGTGGCTTAAATACCATTCATCTTTAGGGCGATCTACCACGGTGACCGACCTTTTCCTCATTATCGCGCTTCATAAAGATAAATCCGAGCCATCATGTCCAAGACAGGCGGATGTAACAACAATGAATCTATGTCGAGATTACTTGAATCCCTAGCACCGTTTATTCTTACTTTACACTTTAGAACTTAAGGTCCTGTGTTAAGGATTATGTGATGCGACACTCTGAAGACATCTTAGAGTCAATTGTTAGCAGAAATGATATGGCTGCGGCAGCATCATTTTGGCCTGGATTGTCACGTCTTGTCACTCGTAGGTTGGAGTTGTTTTTTTGCATTCTTGCATTGAGTGTGTCGGTCTGTGTATTGTCTGTTTGTAAACAGTCTTGGCCCACGAGTTTCAGCGTTCACCAAATATAACATACAGCACACCCATGTAATCAATTGCACCACATTGATTGGACCCGGCAACAGCACTTCCTTGCAACACAACACATTAGTATCTCAAGCTTCGAAAGCGATGAGTTCTGTGTGAAACATTATCCGCGAAGCTAAGAAACAACCATAGTGTTCCTGGATAGACATGCGCTTTGGATCATGTCATCCAATCAGGGTCGGAGCAAGGTACTTGAGCAAAACGGTACACGACAAGCTAGAATAATCGCATTAATGCTCTGTTTATAACAGAAAGCCGTAATTTTCGATTGTTATGAGTCCTACTCTAGCTGAAGGAGCAGTGACACAAACATGACCCAATGTAATAATAGACCTTCCAGCTACATCCAAAGCCCGATACTGTAGGTTGTCTTCCAAGATGTTTTGTCTGCTAGTAATACAAAGCTTGAGCAACAACCCTCTTGCAGAACTGAGAGTTGTCGTTTGCATGTTGGAGCAGCCGCGGACAACGGCATGTGGTGGACTAGGGGCACTCGGCAGCCGCGCCGGTGCTGCATCCCTCGTTGACCGTGTGACCATTGGTGATAGGCCAGTCAGCGTGTCCAGAGCCGCCCCAGCCGTCGTACTCAAAAGTGGCCGTGCATAGCTTAGTGATCTTCTTCCTAACCGTTCTGCTCTGACTGTCGGACCAGCCCATGAGCATCTGTGTCCAGTAGCTGCCTTTGCTTCTCGCCGGCACAGTGCACCTGGTAGCGCCGCCGATGGACTTGGACTCGGACCAAGAGTAGCCGAAGTTGAGGTTGGGCGCAGCATTGATAGCTCTCTTAACCTCGGGGACCGAGTCCATTCCGAAGCCGATTGAGAAGGAAGTGGTCTGGGTGCGGCCCCAGTTGAACTCCTTGATGCATTCTCCGCTCGATAGTTCACAGTAGAGGCAGCCCGAGGACTTGATCCACGGTCCCCACCATGTGCCCGACGCGACGACGCGGTGCTCGCGGTAGGTATACGTCTGAGCCTGGCAGGTGCCGTGGGCCTGGCGAGCGACAATGGCTGGTCCCTCGACAAGAGAGAAGGTCGAGCCGCAGGCAAGGGTCGAGTTCTCGGCTTCCCAGTCGTGATTGTCGAGAAGTTTCTCAATGCATGCGGTATCATCGACGACATCGACTATCGCCACGTCTTTGGCGGCGGCGGAGGCAGCAAGAAGGACTGCAAGTGAGCCTAGCCCGCCGAGCTTCTTGAAGTACGAGAGAGAGACCATCTGGAAGCTTGTCAGGAAGGCAACCCCTTCAGTAGAGAGAAGAGCACATACCTTTGCGAATGTGGAATCGAATTGAATGTGATGAGAGGCGAGATGTGATTTATAGGATGCGAAAATGTGTCTTTTTATATTTTCCAGAACCCCTTCCAGCACGTGCCCGAGACTCACTCCCACGGCAGCCTGAGAAGGCTCACGATACCTTCACACGCTCGTGCCAGGCACTCCTACAACTTGGGTAAGTTGGGACATCATGGTATGCTCGATCAGGCAGGTAGTCGAGTGCATGATGGGTCCTCGGTTCGTAATGCGACTCACGATGCAGTTGTCGGCATGGGGCTGGGAACTTTTGTAATTGGAACTTTTGTAGTTTGGAACTTTTGTCAAGCCTTGCCGCGCCTAGATAGCACTTTTTTCTGCGTTCGTGTTGCACAACAGGGGCTAGACTCAACGATCCAGCTGGTTAGCTGGGGCTTCCACGATGACGCCTAACGTGCGATTGGCCCGCGGTATACTGATGTGAGTCTGAGGCGCGAAATCTTCGAAAGTCATCTGTCAGGCTGGCATGGATTGTCAGTGCTTAGTGCGCCCGCGCAGGCTGGCCGCCAGTCTCTTGATGGATTTGAGGATGTACACAACTCACTCAACAACAGAGACACATCCAATTAGATTATCTCATGTCAGCAGAAACACTTTCTAACCATTCGTCTTGACTAGAATTGATTGCCGTTGTAGACGCCTTGTCAATACATCACTCGTCCATCATTCTGCAGCTCTGCGACCTAGAGCATCTGGACTATCGATATGCTACAAACTAGAACTCAAGCATGGCGAAGTCATCATGCAGATTTCGTTTATGATTCAATCATCGGATACCCATGTAGGTCCCCCCATTGGAAAGCTTGAAGCCACGATCCTTCAGAATTACCGCTGCGCGCGGTGCGATTAAGATTTCACCGCTTGGCGATGCTCGTCTAGCAAGCGACCTTCCTCTTCGGCACTGCTGTGCCCTTTCCCTGCATATCGGCCTCCCACAACCGCAAGGCACAGCTGAAGAACGCAATCACACGGACGTAGGGCAGCGGCGAATTTGGCTTCTTGTGGGCTCGTCTTCGCGGCCGATTGGCAGTTCGCACACAGCAGCCAATCCTCTACCAACCCTAGGCCGTCTGAACTGAGATTCTATAGACACGATCGCAAATCCGGATCAGGCCGAGCGGAAGCCAATCTCAGATAAGCTTTCCTCGCCCCGACCCCACGATATCGACCAAACGCCCGCTGTGTATGCCAAAACAGTCATGTGGGGGAAAGACGGGTCAGAAGGGCCTTAAGGGCGACTTAGCCGTACGGCTGCTTTGACTGTAGTACATGACTTTTGACCTGCTGCCTGGCGGAGATCTAACATCTTCAGCTGACATGTTCAGAGACCCCGGGCCCAGAACGAACCCCTGGTTCATCTGACGGGCGCAAGCCGTGATTCCGGAGGTTTGGTCCGTCGCTCGGCGTCACACAGCATAGGATTTCCTGGAGGGCTATTCATCAAATATTTCTCCCCTCGTAGAATTCTAGCCTCCCTCCTCCCACTTCGCCTCCGTCCATCTTCCTTTGTGCCTTGTGATTTCAATCGCCCATTATTATGATTTGACCATGATACCATCGTGTTGCTTCCTGCCTTGGGCCACATGTCATGTTTGACCAGGCTCCCACAGATATCATTTGAGCTATAATCCTAATTGCCTTTGGGGGGCGGGAGGAGGGGGGGGGATTTACTGTACCGCCCCTTAACTGCGTGCCAGCTGTCAGAGACCAAACCGGGCTCTTCTAGCAAGTCAGTGGACAGAATTCATACGCCCTTGATAGCGGCAACCCTCATATCCGGGAGAAGGGCCAAATTGCCATAACAAGTCAGACGAGATCTGTGGCAAACTCATGACCACAGGAGGAATTATTTATCGGACAAACACCTCAGCCTGCGGAGAAGAAAGGAGCCTGATAATGAGTGTTGCAATTTTCACTGTTACTGCAAAAGACTGCCCTTTCGACCTCCATCCTGTGGTCGGAAATTGAGTATCCCGTCCTCGTCCGCCTCTAGCTTTGCTGTCATGGTCTTTGCCAATCTATCCAGAGCTCCCGCGTTCTCTAGCTCAGGCACGCGCACCTTGTCCCACCCACTCAAATTATGCACCAGCAATGCGAAGCTCGAGTCCTTGACGAGGCTGTCCTTTCGTGTTGAGATCACGGTAAAGGCGAGGAGAAGTGTGACACATAGCGTCTCGAGGGTAATGACTGTCATCCAGGCCCAACGTACGTTGAAGTAAACTTCCTCTGTCAACATTTCCCCCCCCCCAAAATCATCCCTTCAATATTATCGCCGTGCTCTTTGCTCTGTATGTGACTGTCTAAGGTCTGTGCCATATTCCAGATGGCGGTCCTAAGCCCGTTGAGTAGTATCCAGGCGCTCAAGGGATTTTTCAGGACGTATTGTTCCTGACTAATTCCTTCTATTGAGGAGGACGAGTCAGATGTGAGGCTACTGAGAATTTCTTTCAGGAAGAAAGCAACCGTATCCATGACGTAGTCCCGAGACTGAGGGTCGAGCACCATCTCCGCGTTTGTTGACGGGGCCACCCAGTACACGCTGTCGTCGCGGTCGTCGAGATCGCGTCTTCGAAGCGGCTCTGTGGACCAGGGCAGGTAACGCCTGGTGGTCCAGTCGTCTGGTGCTGAAGTATGTTTCGAGTACGTCTTAGCGCAATAGTAAAACAGAACACGGTGGACCTCAACATCTGGCGGCCTACAGAGGTGGAAAAGGATGTAAACCTAGTAGTCAGGATATTTGCGCCCGCCACTATTGTCCGAATCGGTCTCTCCTGATCTTGTCCGCCCGACGAAAGCTGCGTCAGATTTGCAAGACCACGAAAGGCTTTGGTTTGTAAATACAGAGGGTTTTGGACGGAGCTTGGCCGCTCCTCCTCATGGCTATTCGCCAAGCCACGGAAGACCCAGCTCACGTTGGAACGATATGGGATGTGGTCTCTTGCTTCCTCACTTAACACCAGAATACCATAGGTGTCCTCTGGAATGTTGTAGGTGCAGTTTACTTTCCATATGGCGCTGTCTTGAATTGGGCCGTCAGATGTGAGTGACGACGCATACTGCTCAATGGGGCTGCAGGTGCGTGTTGTGTTGTAGGTAACGTTGTCGATAAGTTACTTACGCACATACCCAGTGTTGTGTATTCTGGCCACCGGCACGATCCGCCAATGCAGAGAGAACTCAGCACTGTTCCATTTTTAGTTATCCCGCGTATCATGTTCGAGGCAAATTGCAGGCGACTCATAGGCTCCACTCCCTCAAGGGCTGCTGAATCATCTTGCACAAACGTCAGAGACTTCGCTTCCTGACCGGTGCCTAGCCTCAAGACTTACTTTGGGTCGTATACAAGACTTTGGATGTATAATTTGTAGCGTATGCCAGCTCAGGAACAAGACTATAGTCTATAGCCTCCCGTGTGTGAATCTCCAGGACCTGCTGCACACTCGGACCGATGGCGAGCGAGAGGATGGTCGTGATAGCGAGCATTGAGATGACCATGTTCGCCTTGCCTAACATGAAGAGGGCCTGGAGGGAACCCCATGGTCCCCGGCTCGCTTTGTCGATGAGGTCCAGATGGTTTAGCCTGTGAGCACGATTTTGGAAGTGCCGCCACTTTAGCTGGCTGAGGCACGATGCGATGGGGACCGTAATCGCGGTCCGCGAGGCGGTGGCTATGATGGCAATATACGTGTTGGGCTCGATGTTTAGGAACCCATGCCACGACAGCCGCGGCGACTGGTCGATGGAGCCGAGCATCATGAACAGCAGGCCGCAACCTGTGATGCTGACCATGCAGCCGGCTATCTCCCACCACCAGCACCAACTTCGGAGCCAGGCGTGCTGCTTAGAAGGTTGGCGGTTTGATCAGCGCGGACTCTCGATCGTGGTTGACAGCTCCTCGTCTGCTGGGAGGAGAGACGTAGTTGCACTGTGCGTGCCAAGACGCGTCGGCGATGCCGACATTCGCCGGGCCAGGGGCTTTCGGGGGTGGTAATGCATGGCGTATCGAAGGAAAGTCTGAGCGTGTTGGGGGTGAACTGGCCCGTCGGTCATCTTGTAGCAGTAAAAGATCATGAATTGATGTCAAACGATGGCGCCCAACACCCGCAAGAGACAGCCTGATGGGGGGATACTTAAAAAAACCCGTCCGCCTCCAGCTTTGTAAACACCAATTACACGTGTGGCACACTTGTCAGCACCAAGTTGGTGGCTGGAGCAAGATGCATCACTGGTAGGCCCGTATATGGCCCGCAGATAGCAAGGCCTTTGGAGAGGCGAGCCTGGTCTGCCGTCTATACCGATTGTTTCGTATTTCTGCACTTCTGCTTCAGCAAAACTTGAACGCGACCTCGGACTGGGAGGCTGGAGCGTTATCATACCCTCCATCATTGTCCATCTGCAGCGCGGGTTACACGACTCCACATAACTGCTGTGTCCCTCTGTCGAGGTTGTTCAGCAGCATAGTCACCTGGCCCTTCCGCATGAGGAGGGTTGGCGCGGTGCTACCTTACGTGCATATTGCTTTTCATCCATGGGAGCCTCGTTTGTCTGCGCATAATTCATTTGATGACATCAAAATGTCTACGCGACTGGTATTGCTAGACGGTCTAGCAAAACCGGCCGCCGACAAAATGATCTCAAACTCGCAGAACGTGATGGCCTGCGGAGACTTAGAATGGGGGGCTAATTAGGGCCTATGGGCTACTAGAACGTGTATAAAAGGGTTGCAGAGTGCAGAATTGTCATGTATTTCGACTCTGTACGCATCCATTTCAGCGGACCCTAAGTGAGGAAGACCTTCTAAACCCCAGCCTTCACATCAGCTCTATGACCCGAAGAAAGTCACGCTATTCTCTGTCCGATAACTCTCACGGCTGTCCGAGCACACGAAAAGACGGTCTCCACAGCCATGGCAAGGCCAGACTTGAAGATGCCGGGACCTTTCTCCTAGACTCGGATGCAAGTAGTCGTCTTGACGAATGACTTGTGCGATTTCCGCGCTAGATTAGAAAGCAAGTTTCACAGGCGCTCCCTGCTTTCTTACTGACAAAGTCACAAGGCACAACACCTCAAACCAATTCTGCAGAGACATTTCATTCCACCACATCGGCCGTAACTCGTGACTCGAATCCAAACCCTGCACAGTCCCCCCGAATCAGTCCCTGCCGAAAAACGTGCCCAGCCCGTCCTTGGCGTCGACAATCTCGATCCTGACGAGCAGCGCACACTTTGTCTCCTGCCCCTTGAGGTCGAGCATGCGGATAAAGTTCCACTCGCCCGTGGCGTAGAGCAGGCGCACGGCGGCGACGGCAAAGATGGGGTTCGACGCCCACGAGTCGTCGCTCTTGACGAGCATGCGCAGGAAGACGAGCGGGTTGTCGTCGTACTCCCACTCGAGCACCTCGTCCCAGACGGGGTCGTTGGCGGGCGGGTTCTTGTCGTCCTTGTGCAGGAAGCCGAGCTTGTGCTGCCTGTAGCCGGCCGTCTTGCGCTTGGGCGGCCTGCTCGTCAAGTCGTCTGGGTGCACGAGGGTGCAGGTGAGGGTAGGGCTTGATGTCGTCGGGGGCACGGCCGTCGGGGAGCGGCACGTCCGAGGCGCCGGCGACGTGAAGACGCAGCTTCTTCCTGCGGTGCTTGTCGGTGAGCTGTCCGTCGCCTCCCGATCGAATGGCGGGCGGTTTGAGGACATAGCCATCGGTGCCGCTGAAGAGGGCTTCGTTGATCTGCATGGCGGCGCCAAAGGTCTGCCAGTTGAGGGCGCAGATCTGGGCGCCGACAGCCCAGAAGGGCACGGGCTTGAGGTTGCGCGACGAGATGCGCGTGCCCTTGGGATAGACGCGCATGAGATGGCGGGCATTGTGGTTGGCAATGTGGGTGCTCTGCGCCGGCAGGTGGGCACCGAGGCCCGACTCGGACACGTTGATGAGGTGGTGGTGGGGGCCGACAAACTGGCCGCCGGGGTCGAACCACGAGTTGTTCGGCGGCTTGACCGACTGGGCGTAGACACCGAGCTCCGATAGCTCGGGAATGATGACGGCGGAGGGGGCGGCCGTGTGCTTCTTCTCGTGCCAGACCTTGCGGGCGGCCTTTTCGTCCGCGTCCTCGTCCTCGTCATCGCTGCTGCTGCTGCTGCTGTCCGAGTCAGCCTTCTCGTCGGGGTAGTGGTACTCGACAATGACGGCAATCTTGGAGCCCAGCTCGGCGAGGGTGACGTGTTCGCCGGACCCTTCCTGCTCGCGGTGGCCCTCTTCGCGGATGGCCTTGCTCAAGAGGCGGTCGCCGAGGACCTCCTTCATAATCTCGACGAGACGGCGCTGACCGTGGGCGGCACAGTGGTTCTCGAGGGAGAGGATGATGGGAGCCGCCTGCCATCCGGCCTCGGTGTGTTTCCTGGCCTCCTCTGTTTCTTCATCATGCACGTCGCGAATGGCCTCACAGACGGCGCGGAAGGGAATGTTGGAGGTCAGCGTCCAGCCGTGTGTGACCTTTGGCTCGTCCTTGTTGTCGCTGTTATCCCAAGCGTCAATCTCTACGCAGCGCGATCCCGCCTTGAGGGCCGTCTCGTACGCCGTCGCACACGAGTTTCCGTAAAGCTGGTGTGCCAGGAGGTACGTGTTGTGGCTCGAGCTGACAAAGTAGTCTGGCAGCGGGTAGGATCTGTCGGTGACCTCGGCGGGGACCCTGATGTGCGGTCGCACGATGAGGTCGCGCAGAGCTGGCCCGACGACGTCTTCAGTCTCGAGGTCAACATCGCTCGCGGGCAGGATGCCGTGCTCGACAATGTAGGCCTTGAGGGCATGGCTGACGCGGAGGTTGTGCTTGAGGGCCGTGTCGCGAGCGCCGTGGCCTCCGCCGGCGAGGGTGCCGTTGCTCACCTCCTCGCCGTCGTCTTCTGTGTCGTCCTCATGGGTGCGGGCTGCAAAGGGGTTCAGCTTGGCCATGCCCGAGGTGAGGATCGACGCCATTGTGCGATGAGCAGGGGGGTCTGGCCAGCGATGACAGGGTGACTGCGGGGTTCCACTGTGGGATAGATGATGGTAGGTTGGGGCAGAGGGATGTGACAGGTGCAGTGAGGTTGGCGGGATGGTATGGACTGATGAATGCAGTGAAGAGGATGCGGAAATGCAGGTGTTGCAGTGAGGTTGATGATGGTGACGATCAGGCCGGCGACGATCAGGGCAACGATCAAGGCGACGAGATGCCGAGCTGGAGCCTCGCAACACGAGGAAGGAGGGGCTACGTCAGGAGCTCTTGCTCTGGCTGAGCTTTGTCCAATCATGAGGTCGCATTCGACTTTGGTACGTACCGGCCGCGTGTAGGTCTTGGCAGCTGTGGGCAGCTGATGGCCTGGCTCTTTGATACAATAGTTTTCATCATCAGCGTATAATTATGATACGATGTAGAAAGAGACCGAAGAGCCTATGCTCTTGATGTTTCCTAAGAGACAGTCAATTCCAGCCCGATGGGCGACCCAGAGGTGGCAGGTAGCACAGCGTCGTCTTGCCAGGGGGTACACAGCGGGTACACAGAAAGGTACCTGACACAATAGTGGCATTTTCAGCGCCTTGTCTTGATGGCTTCCACCCCATATTATGCTGGGAAGGCCTTTACCTCTGTCTCCAACATGCTGAAGTACCAATTTTCATCAAGACAATCACCTGTTCATCGAGAGACTGATCTGCCGCTACCCAGGAAGTGTAGAGACATAGCTATCGATCTAGAGACCCATGATAAGATCCCCCTTCGTCAAAAATCCTATCCTTTTACTAAGATTCTCATCGCCAAGACTCTGCTTCGTGGCGGCGACCGAACGACCTATTTCTGCCATTGTTTGGGTCTCACAGTTGGGTGCACAAGTGTCGATCTGGATGGTTGTCTCCCTGGGTAACGTTAATTCTGTTATCTAACGCTAGGTACTTACACTGTCTGCTCGGGATGGGTGCTCAGGACGAGGCCCTAGGACCTCCTCTCAGCGGACAGGTGCATCGAATAAGGAACTTGTCCAAGGACTTGTAAGGTCACGATCCCACCGTGGCATATGAGAGCTAACACATGTCTCGACTTCACTTATTCCCGAGTAGTCGACAGCAAACTTGCAAGTCCTGTAACTCCAGCGGAGCATCGGCCATGGGAGGTCAAGTGCGATGTGTCGGGTTTTCCCCCCCACGTTTACGAGGTTGCATCCAGCTTGTACGAATATCATAGCGTGACTATGAGATCCAGTAAGTGGTTCTCGTTTCGGGCCATTGCTTGGCTAGTAAAGTGATAATACATGTCAACAGCTGAAAGAATCACTGCAGTGTCTTCGGCATGCCTTATCCAAGGAGGCTGAGAGGGATTATAATCATTTAAACTGCTAGACGCGAGCCGACATGAGTCACTCGGCAGCACATGGCATGTCAAAGTAGATTGCAGTTATCCAGATTCTGGAGCTCCCATTCTCATCCGGGCAGTATAAAAATATAAATATCAAACTCAGTTCTTATCCTCCCATCAACAGAAACCAACTACTATAGAACATGCCCATCCATCCTCCAACCATTCATCATTTTCATAAGCACGTGAAACCAAGCCACACACTGGGCGACAGGTCAATCCAGCTGGTCTACAAGGGGACACAGGCTGAAAGGCCGCCACCGCTGAGCGAAACCACACACCGCTGAGAACTGGTGCAACCCAAGTTGAGGACAGGGATGCAGCCGTTTGGAAGGATGCAAATGTTCGCCGACGTGCTGCCAAGACCGAGGGAGACGCAGATGAGACCCGAGCCGCAATCCCCGTCGGCATCGCACGTCGCTGGCGAGTTGTTCGGCACGCACGTGTTCGGGCCCGTTCCGCTGATGGGGGCAGTGCATGTCTGGGTGGACGTGCAGCTAGGCGTGCAGACGAGGGGCTGGGGCGTCGTGACTTCGTTCGGCTCACACGTGTTCGGTCCCGTTCCGCTCACGGGTGCAGTGCACGTCTCGGTCGCGAGACATCCTGGGTTGCAAACAGGGCCCGTGTTCGATGTACTGGGCACGCAGGCCGTGAGACTGCCACCGCCCAGCTGGAGGCGGCATGTTTCGCCTGCATCGCAACCAAAGTTGGTAATGGGAGTACAGGCTCGTGGGAGGATACAGATGTCAGCAGAGGCGACGCCAACATCAGCCTCAACACAGATCAGACTGCCTGTGCAAGGGCCACCAGTATCGCCACATGCTGCAGGTGTGTTGTTCGGCTCGCAGGTATTCGGGCCTTCACCGTTGATCGGTGCTGTGCACGTCTCGGTAGCCAGACATCCTGGTGTACAAACCGGGCCTGTGTTCGATGTGCTTGGCACACAGGCCGTGAGACTGCCACCGCCGAGCTGGAGGCGGCATGTTTCGCCTGCATCGCAACCAAAGTTGGTAATAGGAGTGCAGGCTCGTGGGAAGATGCAAATATCAGCAGAGGCGACGCCAATGTCAGCCTCAACACAGATTAGACCACCAGTGCAGGGCCCACCAGTGTCGCCGCAGTTCGCCGGCGTTACCGTGTTCGGCTCACAAGTGTTGGGCCCGGTGCCGCTGACAGGTGCTGTGCAAGTCTCGGTGGCAGAGTCACAAGCCGGCGTGCATGTAAGACTAGCGGGAGGAGTATCGGGTACGCATGCCGTGAGGGTGCCGCCGCCGAGTTGGAGACGACAGGTCTCGCCAACGTCACAGCCGGTGTTGCTAACAGGGACGCAGAGACGCGGGAGGATACAGATATCGGCAGAGATGCCCCCGGCATCGGCTTCAACACAAATGAGCCCACCAGTGCAGGGCCCGCCTGTATCTCCACAGTTACTCGGGGTTACTGTGTTCGGCTCACAAGTGTTGGGCCCGGTGCCGCTGACAGGCGCTGTGCAAGTCTCGGTGGCAGAGTCGCAAGCCGGCGTGCAGGTTAGACCGCCAGGAGTATTCGGCACACAAGCCGTCAGACTACCACCTCCAATCTGGAGGCGACAAGTCTCGCCAACGTCACAGCCGGTGTTGCCGATAGGGCTGCAGATGCGCGGGAGGAGACAGATATCAGCAGAGATACCACCGGCATCGGCTTCAACACAGATGAGCCCACCAGTACAGGGCCCGCCGGTATCACCGCAGTTGGCCGGCGTATTGTTCGGCTCACAGGTATTAGGCCCAGTGCCGCTAATAGGCGCTGTGCAAGTTTCGTCAGATTCGCAGGCTGGTGAGCAGGTGAGGCCTGTAGGGGGAGTATCCGGAACGCAGGCCGTAAGGCTACCGCCTCCGACCTGAAGGCGACACGTCTCGCCTACATCACAGCCCGTGTTGCCGATAGGGACGCAGGCACGCGGAAGGATGCAGATATCGGCAGAGATACCACCGGCATCGGCTTCAACACAGATAAGCCCACCAGTACAGGGCCCGCCGGTATCGCCGCAGTTGGCCGGTGTGTTGTTCGGCTCACAGGTGTTGGGTCCGGTGCCGCTGACTGGCGCTGTGCAGGTCTCGGTCGAGCTGCATGCTGGCGAACAAGTCAGGCCGGTAGGCGTGTCCGGGACGCAGGCCGTCAAGCCACCGTCCCCAACCTGAAGGCGACACGTCTCGCCTGCGTCACAGAAAGTATTAAGAACGGGAACGCAAAATCGTGGCAGGATGCAGACGTCAGCAGAGATGCCGCCAACGTCAACATCGACGCAGATGAGCCCGCCAGTACAGGGCCCGCCGGTATCGCCGCAGTTGTCTGGCTGCGTCACGGGCTGACAGGTTCCGACACCGCCGGCGATGACGTCGCACTGGAAGCCTTCAGGACAATCACCTTGGACCTGGCGCTTCGCCCTGGGGATGCCCACGGAGACGGTGCAGGACTGCGGCACACAGACGGTCCCGACGCAGGTGGTGCCGGTTCCGCAGGCGGGCGTGCAGGTGGCGGGGACGTTAGGGGTGCAGGTTCCCGTGTTGCCGGTGGCGACGGTGCAGGTGAAGCCGTCAGGACAGTCGGCCTGGACTTGGCGCTTCATCGTGAACCTCGTCAACTCGGGGAGGGTGCACACCTGGGGAAGACACTGGCCGGTGATGCAGGTGGTTCCTGTCGGGCAGTCTGGCGTGCAGGTGTTGGGAATCTCGGGCGTGCAAGTTCCAGTGTCACCTGTGAGAATCGTACAGACCGAGCCGTCGGGACAAGTGCCCTGGGACTGACGCTTCGCCATCTTGAGAGTAGGCGCGGGAATCGTGCACCCGAGAGGCACGCACGTCGTGCCCACACACTCGGAGCCGGCTGCGCAGGTTGGGTTGCAGGTCTCGGGTGTTGTATCAGGCAGACAGACACTGGGACCACCACCAACGGGAACGGTGCAGAGGAAGCCATCAGGACAGTCACCCTGGTTCTGTCGCTTGCCAAAGCGACGGAACAGAGGCAGACTGCACGTGTTTGGCACGCAGATACCGTCGACGCATGTCGAACCAGCATTGCACGTGGGAGAACAGACGGGAGGGGTGACGACAGGTACACAGACACTGCCGATACAGTTGAAGCCGTCGGGACAGTCACCTTGGGTCTGTCTCTTGTTGATGTCGAGGGCTACTGTGCAGGTGTTGGGCACGCAGACACCGCTGACGCAGGTATTGTCACCTGAGCAAGCCGGGGTGCAAGTCTCAGGGTCCGTGAGATCTGGTACGCAGATGCTTGCGCCACCAATTTCAACGACGCAGAGGAAGCCATCGGGACAGTTACCCTGAGATTGGCGTCTACCGAGACGCAAGCCCACTTCGATGATGCAAGTCTGCGGCACACAGGCGTTGTTGACACAAGTCTGGCCTGTGGTGCAAGCGGGAGAGCAACCAGTCGGTGGCGTCAGGTCGGGGATGCAGACGGAGATGCCGCCTAAGCCGAGGGCGCAAACGAATCCATCAGGACAATCACCCTGTGTCTGTCTCTTGAGAACGTTGACGCCGATACTGATGGTGCACGTCTGAGGCACGCACTGTCCATCAACACAGGTGAAGCCAAGCCCGCAGGCTGGGTTGCACACTTCAGGGCCGAGATCAGGCACACAAGCGCCGACGCCGCCAATGTCGATGACACAGTTAAAGCCGTCAGGGCAGGTTCCTTGTGTCTGACGCTTCAAGACCCCGATGCTCTCGTTGGGAATGGTGCATGTGTCAGGAACGCAGATGTTGTTAATGCAGGTTGACCCAGCAGCACAGGTCGGGTTGCAGACATCAGGATCAACGGTTGGCACACAGACGCCAGTGCCGCCAGCGCCGACAGCACAGGTGAAGCCATCAGGACAGTCGCCCTGCTGACGCTTGCCGAGGGCCAGACCACTGACAGTGGGCAGGTTGCAGGTGGCGGGGACGCAGGTATTGGCGACACAAGTCTGGGTACTGCTGCAGGCCGGCTCACAGCCAGGGTTGGTATCGGGGATGCAGACGCCAACACCGCCGACACCGAGGGCACAGGTGAAGCCATCGCCACACTCGGGTTCGCAGGCGGGAGGCGTCACATCTGGCACGCAGACGGAGATGCCGTTGACACCAAGGATGCAGGTAGAGCCCTCTGCGCACTCGGGGTTGCACGTGGGCGGCTGGTCAGGCACACGAACGCCGCTGATGCAGGTCGAACCAGCAGGACAGCGTTGGGACGAATAGGGAAGACAATGAGCACACATGCGCCGTTGAGACACGTCTCCCTCGCAACGCAAACCCGGCTCGCACTCA